AGAAACCAAAGTTTTTTTTTTTTTTTAGCACATTTTTTTTGATTTTAAAGGAAAAAATTTCCCCCCCCCCCCCCCCCCCCCCCCGAGCCAAGTTTATTTAATTAAATGATAGCTCCTCTGAAATGATTTTTGTTGTGGGTATCGCTTGGTAGACAGGCTATGCTGATTGCACATGCCCTAACCCTTTTTTTTTATTTAATCGACATCCATTTAAGAGAGCCCTGATATTTTCTGTGGAACTGAATGAACGGTTGGTAAATTCTTTGAGAGACCATCCAATATATCTAAGCATACATGCAAACATAACTGTAGTCTTAATCGTAGCCAAATTATTTTGATCATTCAAGGGAAATACAGATTTTGGCAGAAATGTCCTTCGTTAACGAAGATATAATCCTATATCAATAATTGCAAATAAACATTATTATACAATCCGCATCAAAATTGCTGTTGTATACAGGGGTGTAACTAGAAATTGCCCGAGGGGGAGGTCGAGGCATTTGGGGCTTGTGAGAGCCCCCTGAAGCTAATGGATTTCAGATGGCCTGGGTGCATTAAGAGGGCTTCATTTTTATTTCAAAATAAAACCTTTCACAGGCTTAAGGGGAGGGCCATGACCCAAATCCTCAAAAAGGACAGACGGTCGTTGTTGATAGCAGTATATATGACCATAGTATAGACACTTCATAATGAATCGCACTAAAGCATGAATTCAAAGCAAACATTTAGTCTTGCAAAACGAATGTAAAATGAAGTCATGGAGTGTTTGCAATCCTCTTATCCAATGTAAATCACAAAGGTCGAAGGGTTTTGATCGAAATTAAAATTAACTATTTGGTATCTTCATTGTCTTGTAATTTGAGCTATTTGATTACATAGAATGCAAATTGATTGTAAATAAATAGGTAAAACATTTTGCCCCATCAAGGCTGTAAGAATCGTTCGTCACCTAGCCCTTGACACAACTAGCATGCGTCATTAAAGATTGATAACTTAACATATGGAGAAGGTAGGCTTTAGAATAAATTTGAGAAACACATGTCTCGACCAATCAAATTAAGAGATATGAATTTAGCATTGCAGTATCAAGGGCTAGATATTGACTGACTCAAGAGACCTTGGTGGATCAAAAGGAAGGTAAAGGTAAATCTATAACAATGTTAAACTAGTCCTCTCTACACACAATTTAATTTTGAATATCGTGCCTGAAATGATGCCATAAGCACCATTCTTTCAATATAATATAATATATTAAAGCGCTTTCTGCAGGAAAACGCCATTTAAAAATTTTGCAATATGTACATTTTTTTTTAATATAACATTCATCTGTAGATAAAATACATTTATAATAAAACAATGAGATTCATAGAGGCTAGAAAACTTTTCCAATTATTATTGATATATATGGTGGAAAAAATCTTAATGGCACTATATTTTGATGTAACACGTTATAATATTAATCATAATAATATTAATAATGATATACACAATAAAAAAACAACAAAAATATCCATCCTCACACATTAATATTATATATTATACAAACATGTAGAATCCGTATCACATATATTCATTTTCGTTGCAAATAGGAAATGGATGTTACGTTACTGTAGTCATTGCTAAACATTAGTTGAATCGTTGTAATTGTCTAAATTGATTATAATACGTTTGCCGTTTAAATTGGGCGAACTCGGTGTTGAATCGATCTGATCTTCTTTCTTTGCTGCCTCAGTCATAGCTGATAGTTTGTGTTGTAAATGTCGGTTACCCAATTTCATGTTTCTCTGTTTTAAAATCTCTAGTTGAGTATATAAACGTCGAAATTCCTCCTACAATACAAAATGTATGCTTTGTGAAGAAAGAAAGAACCATTTGTATTTTACGAGGGTAACTACGGTAAACAAAGATCCTGTGTACTAGTTGTTCAACGGCCAAACCTCCTGAAATTCCTCGATTATTGATACCTATTTACAGCTGGGTACTGGAATAATCATGAAAGGTGAACAGATTTTTGAACGCCGACATTGGAAGCAAACACTCCCAAAGGTGGTTCATTGCTTTTTGTAACTCTTTCTAGTTTGCTAGTCGGACGTTGCACACCAAAGTAATTTCATAAATTTTGATAATATAGATGATATCCGTTAACTATAATATCAGTTATCTGATGTCCACGGTAAAGGTGGTTACCGAAAACGTTGCCATTTAAACATAACGGACTTAATTCAAAGACAGATTATTGCCCCATCTAAGACCCTATGTACGGTCCTGACATCGGGATGCGTAAACAGCAACGAGAGTTTACCTGAATATCTTTCTCTAAAAAACTATCACATTCTTCTGGATCTTCAACTTTATCATCATATCCATTGTTAGAGACAACATTGCTGATAGTACTGGTTGGTTTAGGTCCCATGGTATATTTAGAGCCACGACTGAGCATTGTAGATTGTTGTTGACCTTGGTGTTCTTTTCCATAGTATTTATACACTAAATATGCCTGAAAATACAATGCATGAATATTCATAAGGCATTATGAATATGTATAAGGTCAAATGAATATGTATAAGGTCATATGAAATAATAATTGTCACGTCATGAAATGCCAAGAACTGGTGTACTATAACGGATGTAGAATTATTTATACAGATCCAAACCTGGTCACGTATTCTCGTAACGATCTTAGCGCTCGGATGCCCTAGGGACTTAACTTCTAACACTGTTTCTAGGACACCCTAGCACTAAGATAGTTTCGAGAATACGCAACTAATACCTTTGATCTTTTATTCTGATCCCTATGAATGTCAGATGTCATAAAAGATCTTGACGGTGTGTGGTTTTGGTATCAGCCACGTTTCAATAGTGGAACTTTTGCAATTTGCAGCCAAAGTTTAGGATATTTTGAGTTGAAATTTTTCGAACACTTGCAAAACTTTTAAGTCTGATGAACACAAAGTCATTCTACGACAATCATTATTTATCCCTAAAGATTTGAAGTCAATACTCATATTTATCAAAATCAGTAAAAATATTGATTCAAGTAATGAAAGTACTAAGAACAAGTACATTTCGTGTCTCTGTGGAATTTTGCTTACCTTACTTCCAAATAAAAATGCTAATGTAACTGTAGTTGTGAGCTGAGTATGAATAAATAAAACTAAGTACAATAGATCTGGATTGGTTGGAAATGGGTCTTTTAAAAATATTCTGAAAAAAATATTAATAGTTTCCTTCATTAAATAAATAAAATCAAGTTTAAGAACTTACAAAACTTGGAGAAGAGAAGGAATGAATGAACCAACCATATTTACGAGGATAAAATTTTTTCAAGAGGATCCTCTCTACCATTCCTTAGACAAACTTTGTGGCATTGATCTTTCTCGGTTTATCCATACCTATGTACAGCTTGGTCAACTGGAATATTGAGGAAATGTGACACGACGACCGATATTAGAACCCATGACCATCATACTTACGTATTAATTTACCTGACTGGGCTAATGCTGACGAGAAATACCATGCATGATACAATGAGAAACACTATATTCCTTATAATTAGGCTTTTTTCCATCTCAGTATTTTCGACCTGTATCACTGACATGTATCACTGACATTTGGCAATCTAGCTGAAAATCCAAAATTATGGAAACCATGGAGGCCCTACCCAGTATGAAATTCTAAAACTGCAACTTACGTGCTAACATTCAAGAATAGGGAAAGAAGAAACTCGTTGTAGATTGCCCAACTTATAAATCTGCTTTCGTTAAACTCTGATGGAGCTTTTCGTACAACTACACATAGTCTAACTCCCCATAACAGTAATAATAATTCAGCTGAAAAAAATGAGCAAAATATATCATCATACAGTTTTGATATAGCATCAACATTGTGTTTACATTATTCAGCTTACCAAGCAAACTTTTATACGATTTGCCCTGGTTCATTTGTTTGGTATTATCTGATGGACTCACAGCTTTGTATCGATGCCAAATTTACTTTTGTCATTGCGAAAATGCCTAGCTATCCAGAAATGGATTGGAGCAACGAACATAAACAGTGGCTTTTTATGTCTGGTCCTAAACGTGCCAGTATCCCATCCGTATATATTATATTATTAATTACGAGTAACTGGCCAACCAAGCAATAGAGCTACGGAGAGAAAGGCAGTTTTCATAAAGCAATTAACTAACCTATAGCAGCAGAATGATCCCACCAGTCTGAAGAACATTGATAAGCTTTTAGTCCATTGACATCTTTGCCTGTAATAATAACAAGAAGTTACACTTTGGATAAATTAACAATGATATTCAAATTACCCGCAAATTCTTAGTGGTGCAAAGCAAACAGATTGTTCAGGATGAAGCAAGATTAATCCAATGTAACTAAAATGAAGAATGAACTTGGGCTTGAAAATGAATGGTGAACATTTTATGTTTCTGATTGGCTAATAAAAAGTTGCCATTCAAAACAAAGTGCATTGAGAGAAATTTTGCCAAAACAGAAACATTTTACTAATCCCTTTTTGATTTCAAAGTATCAGCAAACCTTTATCATACACAGCCAAATGCACGACACCTTGGTCTATAGCACCCTTGAACTAGACGCCTTTTTTGCCACTACGAACTAAGGGGAGTTCTGCAAGAAAGTTCCCCCAAACTCTGTATGAAGCAAGGACAGATAAAAATCACATACCTTGAACAACTTCGGGCATCCCAACGAACGTACGAACAGACAAGTACGATATGATTATCATTACCATGCAAAACAAACGTTTTATCAAATCCCCATCTGATATCTTCACTCTTTGAGCTGATCTTACACGAAATACGACAGATATCCTGCAGGAAAATTAAGTATAATATAAGTGTTATACGACAGATATCCTGCAAGAAAAGTAAGTCATAATATAAGTGTTATACGACAGATACCCTGCAAGTAAATTAAAGTCATAATATAAATGTAATACAACAGCTACCCTGTAAGTAAATTAAAGTCATAATATAAGTGGTATATGACAGATATCCTGCAAGTAAATTAAAGTTATAATATAAGTGTTATACGACAGATATCCTGCAAGTAAATTAAAGTCATAATATAAGTGTTATATGACAGATATCCTGCAAGTAAATTGAAGTTATAATATAAGTGTTATACGACAGATATCCTGCAAGAAAAGTAAGTCATAATATAAGTGTAATATGGCAGCTATCCTGCAAGTAAATGAATTCTTGATATAAGTTTTATACGATAGCTGATATCCTGCAAGTAAATGATATTCATGACAAAAGTGTTATACGGCGGATATCCTGCAAGTAAATTAAAGTTATAATATAAGTGTTATACGACAGATATCCTGTAAGTAAATTAAAGTTATAATTCAAGTGTTATACGACAGATATCCTGTAAGTAAATGAAGTCTTGATATAAGTTAATACGACTGATATCCTGCAAGAAAGTCATGATATAAGTGTAATATGACAGATATCCTGCAAGTATATTAAAGCCACAATATAAGTGTTATACGACAGATATCCTGCAACTAAATTAAAGTCATAATATAAGTGCTATACGACAGATATCCTACAAGAAAGTCATGATATAAGTGTAATATGACAGATATCCTGCAAGTATATTAAAGTCACAATATAAGTGTTATACGACAGATATCCTGCAACTAAATTAAAGTCATAATATAAGTGCTATACGACAGATATCCTGCAAGAAAGTCATGATATAAGTGTAATATGACAGATATCCTGCAAGTATATTAAAGTCACAATATAAGTGTTATACGACAGATATCCTGCAACTAAATTAAAGTCATAATATAAGTGCTATACGACAGATATCCTGCAAGAAAGTCATGATATAAGTGTAATATGACAGATATCCTGCAAGTATATTAAAGTCACAATATAAGTGCTATACGAAAGATATATTGCAAGTAGATGAATACTACATAACGCATATTTCATCGGAGGCGGTGCCAGCTTCCAAGAGCCAGAGGAACAATAAAGGGGGCACGCTGATTAATGGGGGGACAACTTCAGTGGTTGAGATTCTAAATACAGATGCATTGTGGAGTCACCATCTGCGCAAGACTTCCATGAATGATCTAAGGGGACATTCTGTCACATATCTTAGGAGCAAAAACGGTTAAAGATGTGGGTGTAAATTACTCTTGCAGACACAAACAAATATTTATTGTAAATCTTAGATTTTTTAAATCCTCCTTAAAAGGATTGTACCGAGGTTTTCTAGTCTTTTTATGTGTATCAGGAACACTGAAAGCATCGATTTGTGCCATTCAAATTTCATATGTGGTTTTAACAATAATTCCACTAAAGTTGTGCATTTAATCAAGTACCTATGACGTCATATACAGTTAAAACATTTTATTGAGAATTGGAATGACGCAAATAGAAGCTATAAATGACCCCGATGCACAGAAAAATATTGAAAACCACTTTACAATCCTTTTAAATCAATAGTGAATTTTCGGATCGTCTGAAAATTAAGTCTTCTTGAAAATTAATTATTTCAGAGTACATAATTATTGATTTTTTTATCTGTGTGAATTGTACATCTATTTCGAGATAATCTTTTAGATAATGAAGGTCTTAGCACACAAAATAAGATCAAGATGGCATGGTGCATTGAAAGGGATTATTAAGAGGTTTTCTGATATTTTTTTAATTGTTTAGCATCAATTTGCACCATTCAAATGTTCAAACAGACGTCTGTGGTTCCTGGAATTCCACTAGAACTAAGTGTTTGATGACGTCATTAATGGCGAAAGGGCCGTATGTGATAAAGCATCTGTTGAAATCACTGAGTTTTAGAGGAATTGCAAGAACCACATACGTCTGATTTAACATTGTAATGGTGCATATTGATGCTATCAGTGTCCCCGATAAACATAAATTTGTTAAAAAAGCTCGTAACAATCCCCTTAATTAGTCACTGCAATAAAGGATACATACCTCCAAGTTTTCAATAGTAATGCACCGTATGATATATAAAATCCAATTTCTCTGAACCAAAATTTCATGCAACAAGTAACAACACTTGCTTCAAAGAAACCAACTATCAACTAAAATGGAACAACTCAAAATACAATTACATAGATTCAATTCATTTTCACCTTTTCTTATTTGTGGCTATGTAAGATAGAAAGCTTGCCAGGCAAGGTGAAAGGCATCAAATCTACAGCTTCTATTCGATTTATGACATTCCAAAAAATAAGAACACCAAAAAAAATAAAATAAAATAAAAACCAAAAAAACCTAAGTTGTTGTAATACCACTTTAATATGTAGATATTTTTTTAAAAAAAAAATCAAAAATTAATAAATCTGAATGTATATGACATTATTTCAAAACTTGCGCATGGGTGTCCCACTGTTAAACTGCTTAAGAGGAGGTTCTGCTTAAAACTGGACACAAATATGAAGGCCCAAGCTCACGATCAGATTTGATCAAAATAAATACCAGTCTTACCGGGCAATACAGTAAAAACGCTCCCAATAATATAATTCTTAATAGAACTGGACTAGCTGCTTTCAGCACCTACAATCAAAGAACAGATTTAGTAAGGAATTACTTTATCAGCTTCCACTATTTAAGACAAAATCTCCTTCAGTGCATACAGCATGGCGTTGTCTGCCTTCATTAGCCGATCTGGAGCAAAAATAGGCGGTAAAACTCCATTTCATTACAGCATGAGTTATCCCTGAAATATCCTTGAAAACGGCTGATAACATGTTCCGGAATTACCATAGGCCCTGACTTCCTGTAATTATCATCACTTTTTTGCAGATGCAAAATTGGAATTCTGAAAAAAAACTTACCTTGACCTCTCTATATTGCACCGAAAACCACATCAAGACAGCAATTGAAATCATCATGAGTCCGGATATAGCTAATAGAATACTTCGTTGGATCCAATTTAATCTGAGCACACATGGGCTATTATCTTCGCACACATCACAACCCGCAGCACATGCAAGGCAATTGAAGGAAATGTCATACTTGTTTGGTAACCCCTACAAAAACAATAGCAGAATAAATAATACAGAAACAAAATAAATATGCTTTATTCTAATTACTATATTGGTAATGGTAAACAGTCAACACTCAGGGGTATTCCGCTATTTTTCGAAATTCTTTTTTGCTCAAATATGTGAAAACTATAAACCAAAATCTATGTACTCCATAACGTATCTGAAAGTTTTAACTAAAAATATCCAGCTGTTAATCTTTAAACACCAAAACTTTACATAAAAGGTTACGTAGGCCCTAACCCTGCCGTTATGTTCTTGCAAGCTGTTAGAAAACTACTGTACGAATTTGAGTAAAATAAACGGCTAATTGTAAAGAAATGTGTCTCCTACGTTTTCTAAAGATTTCAACTAAATATAACGAGCCACATATAAAAACAAAAAAAAAAGAAATATTTTCAGGAATCCAACTACCAACTACTACGGTTACCAACAACTACCTAGTTTACGATATCAGCATCTGCTGGAAGCGAACGTGAACTTGTCATCTACCAACCAATATTTTTAGGTATAATTTACGACGTTTTTGATATGAAAATGTTTAAAAAAAAAAGCGGAATATGGTCGTTGGCTCTAATCTGAGACAGTCTTCACTTTATAATTCAAGTCGATCCAATTGTTCAGTTATAAAGGGGCGCGGATAATCCGGGAAAGATGAAGACCTCGAGGTTTGGCCATGAACCAGCTGGTAGAAAGGATCCTAAGATCTTTCCTGCAAAATATGCTTGTATCATTATTGAAATGATATTTGCTCATATCTACTATCGATATGAAATATTTTACATACTTTACGTTTCAAGGCATATTGTGCTTCTATCTCTGTACCCTTGAAGAATTTTTGTGATGACGATGAATCAGGAAAGTAATAACCAGGTTTACAAACACATTTATATGACCCTCTTCGAAATCCAAGACCAGAAATAACGATACACTGTAAAAACAAAGTGTTAATTTTATTTTTTTCATGAGCGCTCAATATTCCCTTATCAACAAATTAATCCATATCTTCTTTGATTTATTAAACTGTAATAATAAAAATCAAATAAAACCAATCCTGCATTTAATTAGCAAAAGCTGTCTAGCATTCGTGTTATTGGTCCATTAACTATATAAGGGTAAGGACAAAAACGCATTTGGCAAATTGTTTCATATATGATTACAACTGAACGCAGGTTAAGGGTTGTGCTCGATTGGTTAATTTCAGAGTCAACCAGCAGTTGTAAGTTTGAACAAGGTTCAGAATGTGTTCCACGAGTGCTACAAAAGTAAGTGTAGACAAAATGGCAGAGAAAGGAATAGAAGTGTTATTTTGAATGTGACATAACCAGGTTCCATTCTGACTGAACGTGTTCAGGATTCAACAATCGAGTGCCACCCTAACCTCAAATATGAAAACATCCGATTAAAGCAAACTATTTCAAAGAGAGAATTTACATGCACGCACCTTTGTCGTTTCTTCTTTACACCTTGCCGATCCTGCAAAGACGTTGTCTTCATTGGAACCATAAGGCACAGGGCATTGGTTAATGTCCACCTTTTCAAGATCAATATCTATGCCGCTTGTTCCCCTGAAAATTATGAAAATGTCTCGATTCTACACTTTTAGGTGTTGATTTGGTACTTGAATATACGTAAATAGTCTTCAGAAATCACGAAAGCATCGTAATCTCTTCAAATATACCTAAAACTGGAATTTTACTTTATAGTTTTCACTTGTCTATATATGGCGGAATCACAAGAAAACACGAGTCGTCATTTTAACTCACGGATAATTGTGAACTCACATGGATTTGAAAGCTCAAATTTCGACGGTGAGCTGTGAACATTATTACTGATAAGTTTAGCTAAAAAAATTCCGTTTCTGAGACAAAGGAACAATTGATCATACGGATGGTAAAGAATTGTAAAAAAAAATTCTTAAATTATTATATGTATCGGGGACACTGATAGCATCAATTTGCAACATTCCAATTTTCAATCATACATCTATGGTTCCTGCAATTCCACTAAAACTAAGTGTTTGATGACGTTACTAATCACAAAAGAATGCTTTATCATATAAGGCCTTTCACGATTAGTGACGTCATCAAACGCTTAGTTTAAGTGGAAATGCAGGAATCACAGACGTCTGATTGAAAATTGGAATAGTGCAAATTGATGCTTTCAGTGTCCCCGATACACATACAAAATTTGAAAACCTCTTTACAATTCCTTCAATATGTATGACCAAAATATGAAAAGAGGCGAAGTACTGTGAAGTACAATCAATATAGAACTTGTGTAAAGTTGATATGAGATTAAAATTCTCGTAACTTGTCTGAGATCTCAACAATCTACTGAGCCAACAAGTAGAATACAAAAAAAATCTTTATCAAAATTTCCAGCATCTCATAAATCCTCACTAAAATGCTATTGAAAACTTAAATCAAAATTTTACAGACTGATTTTCAAACAATTGGCACTTGACACAAAAGTTTTGTTTGTGTCACAAGCAGTAGTGATATCTGTTGTTTTTTCATAAATTTTCAATCTACTAAGCACATTTATCTCTGAAGCAGACACACTAACTGACGTAAGTCGTCTGTTTTGATTATTCTGTTAGTATTTCTACTAAATTCACTTGAGCTTCCACACCACACTACCTTTGGACAGCCACTCAATGGGTCCTGGATTTTTCTCGAAAACCTTTCATAAATAATGTTCTAATTAGTGAATTAAAGGAGATTAAAAATTGATTTTAAGTAATGGATTAATCTGATGAAGAAAAAGCTAAAATCATTGGAGGAATTGTAAAGTCTCCTAAAAATGTGTATCGGGGATCCAGTTAGCATCAACTTGTACCATTCCAATTTTCAATCAGACGTCTCTGATTCTTGCAATTTCACTTAAAATAAGCAATTGATGACGTTAGTCGCAAAATATGATGTTTTAAAGACTTCACAATTAATGACATTATAAAACGCTTAGTTTTGGTGAAATAGAAGAAAATTGGAAAGGTGCAAATTGTTATCAGTGTCCCTGATACACAGAAAAATTTTTAGAAAAACTCTTTACAATCCCTTTAAGTTAAGTTTTTTGTTGTTGTTTTGAAGATGTAATACAAAAGATACATCATCGACATCTTAAGACCTGTTTAACATAAGATAATTAGGCCATAATCAACATTACGTGTCTTGTCGTGTTTGTCACGCCGTGTTATCATCAGAGAAGAAAACTAGCCGTGGGAGGCCTGCTGAGGAAATTTTCGAAATACACGAATCAGAGTAATTAATAAAGATAGATTTAAACAAAATTGCTAACGTGAGATCATTTTAAGCCAATAGCTTTCCCAGGGTTTCCGGAGGGGTGGGGTGGGGGGGGAGATAGCCACAAGACTCGATTTATCATTGGTTGATACCAATTTAACAGCCCCAAGCATAGGATTATCTTTTCGGGCAGCGAACCGAAAAATATGGGGAAATAACCCGAAAACAAAGACAAATGCCAGTAAAATTTATTTTAAAAATTTCGGGCGAACCAGCCTGCATGACCCCCCTCCCCTCAACAGTCTTTCGGCTAGATTTGATAGTATCATAGATAGTCCTGACAAATCTAGAATACTCACTTGAATTTGAAAGTACCATTGGAATAGCCAAAGAATGGAACTGTATAGGTCATCATCCATATATTACCCCCACCACAATCAAAATATGGTAAAGACCAGTGACCATGTTCATATGTAACTGTTATAGTACTGTCATATTCATAAGATCCTGATGTGTTATCGTTAATTCTCCATTGCTCTGTGCCTGGAATATAGAGATGCAAATCTTTAAAAAAGTCTGATATCATTAGGCTCGTATAAGATGAAGAGATGTAGGAAAACGAAAATTGTGGAATGCCATGCTTCAAGTATAAATATCTTTAGAATTTGGGTACGATTGCTTTTGGTTCCCAAAAGATAAATCAAAAACTGATGTGATGTTGTAAATTTTCATGCACTTCACATGTATATGATTATCATAATTAACTATTTTGGCAACGAGCAAAAAACCGAGTGTACCCATTCAAGTCACAAAGCCCAAAGTCACCACTGAAGAAGGTAGATATGAAATGAGCCCAAATAGATGACAATGCCGCCAAAAAGCATCAACTATTTGATTCGTCTTTGAACAAGAACAAAGTATTATACAACAATCAATCATTTACATGTATTCCAAAAAATTGTCGAAAACAATTTGAGAAAAAATGACTGTAACAAAAAATTAAAACTTGTAATGAAAGATTAAATTAATGACATCGATAACTAAGTTCTGTCAAAACAAGATAATTAAATTATGCATTCCAGCCATCAAATTACTCCTACTGTTTGAATGTAATGGCAAAGGAGTGGCAGTTGCAACCAATCGATAATGGATGGTCGGGCCGTCACTAGAAATATCTGCCATCAATTCCTTAGTTATCTACACACTTCATACACATCATAATTTAACGCCACTTAACAATTATGTTCGCCAAATCTTTCAAATATCGACTAATGATGAATTGATATAAAAGTCTGGTTTTACACTTTCCTGGTTGATTTTACAACTTCCTGGTTGTTTGGAAATATGTGTCCATTAAGGAGTATTTTTAATCCCCTTTTTGTCTTTTACGTCAGTGGAATTTTATTAGTATTTTCGTTGACACATTCATTTGATTTTAACTTCTCCTCTTGATATAGCCTATAGTTTTGATGAATATTGAAAAAATAGACATTAGAGTATGGAGTTGATAATTCTAAAATTGACTTAACAATAAAATCCCATCCACCAATGCATCCATTCGAGAAACATGTCGGTTCAAATTTTTTCAATTGAGTTTTCATCCTGCCAGTGATGTGAAGTCGCTTGACTGGCGTGGTAAAAGTATCTCGTTGTTCGCATTCGAATATTCAAGAACCCTTGTGCATCTTTTGAGATCCCTTTCAGAGACAGGTGTGCCATTTTGGGGGTTGACTTAAATCTTGAATACATGTATATGTAAATTGTCTCCAGAAGTACTAGAAATGTTCAAAAATCGCATAATTCCTTCAAAGGGATAATCAATGCCAAGTGATTTAGCTAAGTACCAGCTAGTAGAAATGTTCCTTAAATGTGTTAAAGTTGTTATCCTATGAAATATAGTTGTTTCTTTCTTTGTTAAATATATCAAACTAGGGATTTCGATTTCTATTTCTAAAGGTGTCTTTTCTATAAGCCTATATGGCAGTGTCACAAGAAAAGACGACTCGTCTTTTTAACTTTCAAACGCGGGTAATTCTGGACACACATGAAGGTGCCAAGTTCGACGTTTAGTTGTGAACACTTACTGATTAGCTTAGCCAAAAAAAATCCCGTTTCTGAAACTAAGGAATGATTGGTCCAAGAAATGGCGCTACTGTCGAAATGTGAAGAGGTTGTTGTCACTGTCTTCATTAGCTCCAATCTAGTTAAAATTAGATTTAAATTTCGTTTATTATTTTTTTCTCTATTGTAATCTAACGAGAATTGGTGGCGCCACAAGCTACATGTATTTAAAACAGGCAATAATGCACCACTCTCCGGCCAATCAGAATCACTTTTACAAGCGAGTATCGGCAATCTCATAATCCGTCTTGATATTGGAAGGCATATCGCTCTACTTCGCTATCCCACAGTTCATAGTCGATTTAAACACGCATTATGCATTATGCGCTGTGATTGGTTGAAACGAACGTCAACAGTATGTCACATTGGTATAGATATATTAAGATTACAATAGAGACCAAACAACTAAGGAAACAAAATTGTAATCTAATTTTAATTAGCCCTTCATTAGCTCAATCAGGAGCAGAAAAAGGACGTAAACTCCATTTGATTTCATCTTGTGTGCTGATGGAACTATTGTTTGAGTTCCTCAGTTTTTTTTATAGTGAAATTAGCAGAAGTACGGTAACAATATTTACCCATTAACACTTTTCCTCATCGATCACCATTTTTTAAACATTGTTTTGATGCTTTTCAAAGTGAATTGCTTTATAATATATACGGCTAAATGCTTTGTTTGTTCAACGGAGTAATATGAGATATCGATGCGTTCTTTTTTTATTAGTCATCATTGGCCAATTAGGTACATTCGAATCTTCGATGTTTTAAGTCGTAAACAAAGAACAAAGTTGCCCATTAGGTGCATTCGAATCTTTTGTTGTTCTCAAATTTAGACAGAAAACATCAATGACCAATTAGGAACACTAGAATTTTTTTTTTCAAATTTAGACAGAAAACACCATTGGCCAATTAGGTGCATTCGAATCTTTTGGTTTTATCAAATTTAAACAGAAAACAACATTGGCCAATTAGGCGCATTCGAAGCATTTGGTGTTGGCCATTAGGTGCATTCGAATCTTGGATGTTTCCAAATTTGAGACGAAGAACAACTTTGCCCATTATGTACATTTGAATATTTTGGTGTTTTCAAATTTGGACTGAACACAACGTTGCCCATCAGGTACATAAGAATCTTTGGATGTTTTCAAATTTGACACAGAGAACAACTTTGTCCATTGGGTATCTTCAAATCTTTGGATGTTTTCAAATTTAATACAGAGAACAACGATGGTATATTTGAATCTTTGGATGCTTGCAAATTTGCGACAGAACAACATTACCCATAAGGTACATTCGAATCTTCGGATGTTTGCATTTTAGCTGTAACTCATCTGTGGCTTTTGATGGAATTATAAACTACATTTGGCCCATACGGTGCATTCGAATGTTTGGTTGTTTTTAATCTGAGACATTCGAACACCGTTGCAATGGAGCTGTAACTCGCCTGCGACTTTTGATTGAAACCACCATTGGCCATATGGTGTATTTAATTTGAGAAAGAGAACACCTGTGAATTGAAACTCGTCCACGGCGATCGACGGGATTTGTTTACTCCAGTGAGTAGAAGGCAAACCTTATACCAGACTTAAGATATATTTACCATTCCTCTTCGCCTGCTAATTGACATTAGAGACAGAATGGCCAATAGAAACTGATAGCTGGCACGCTACACGATGACGTTATAAACGCTAATCTATTCTCGTCTTATTCGTATATTAACCCGATGAACTATTCAGACTGAAAGATTCAGCTATAACATTCCATGTCTTCTTACCCAAATGCATATTATATTTTGATATATATACTTCTGAAGAACACTACTTTGATTATGAGTTAGCGATATCATCTTACTGAAAACGCAATTTAAAGTAGAACTGTATGCAATCATATGAGGAAACATTTCTTTCGTCGTGTATGTCGATCAAGCCATTACCATTGGATTTCGGTCAAATAGAAACTCATCAAGAACAAATCGGCATTATTAACATCGGCCATATGCGATCTAAGAGACACTGGAAATGTACTAGATCGCGGTAAAACCTGAAGAAAACTAGTGAAAAAGTCTCTACAAAATTACAAACTTTAAAACACTCGCCCTCATACCGCGCGTTATACGACCGTATTGCGTTTTACCGTTTTACCGCGTCTTTGCCACGCGTGCACTACACGATTTTGGCAATCTTAACACGCTCTGAGCCAATTTTCCATCGCAGTAGCAGCGCCTTTCCGATGTCACGGCGGCATAACGATATGGTGTAGACTAAAAATAATCACATCTTCAATATAAATCGTTAACGTTTCAAATTCATCGATAATTAAGTTTCTGCATTCGTTGCCGAGTCTTTGAAACCTTGACAAATGCAGGATTAAATGAAAACACCATGCTTTCAAAATATCTGATAAGATCATTGGATGAAAAAAAAAAATTAAATTTCGCACATTTCTGCTAATGGAACTTTTTGACATTTCCCATTGATATTTTCATTCACAATTGTTTGATGTTGTGATTTTGATGGATTACATAATATTTTAATTTATTTTTTGATTGTATAGAAATTCTGGAGTATTGCTTTAAAAAGCATGAAATTAACTGAGTTTTCAAATCTATTTGTCTGAATCATTATGCTTTATTAAAGTGGCATAAACAAGAAGCAAATAAATGATCTGGTATCACAGATGACTCTAAAGACTAGCACACAGCTTATCTAGTCAAAATGCAATCTTCAAGTTATTGAAATGGGTCATCAAAGGAGATGAGCCGAGAAAAAAAGTTGGTATTTTAGGCGATTGTTCTCTCAAACTTGAGAAACCATCGGTTCACAATCCATTGGTTTGATTCAGATCATTTCTGGCCTCGACCATACCAAGATATTCTTGGCTAATGTTTAGCCAATTTGCAATAATAATTCATTAACAAATACATTTCATCCAGGTGTATATGGGATAGAAAATAATACCATAAACGTATAGCTGATTTGACTTCAAAAACCAAGTCACAGAATGTCACCTTTTGTCTAAGACGACGGGTGATAATGACCAGCGACACAAGTGAAACGCACCACAGTAATTAGTGTTGTGGAGAACTAATATGATATAGATTTTTGATTTGAGCTTAAAAGCTCAAAGCTGATAGGCTGATCAACAATATCCCCTCTCCTTTTGAGAACGATCTTGTGCACGAGAAGAGTCATCGTCCAATTAGTGAGTAATAAATTATACCATACAGTCAGTAGCCTATGAAATATCCTGCAGGAATATCAATTATACGGAAACTAGTTAGAAAGTTGCATTGCAGTAGAACATTATTTTTACTGAATAATCTCATAAATTTTTAATTTATTTCTTTTGATCAATAGAATATAGTGTCAATTTATTCTTTTCAACGGTGTTTAAAGGGATAGAGCGCTTTTTTTTGGAAACTAGGAATTTATTTTCGCATTTCTATACTTAACAGTGTTTAAAGTGACGACTCGTCTTTTTAACTTTCAAACTGGACACATATGGATTCAAATTTCGACGTTGAGCTGTGAACACCATTACTGATAGGCATAGCTAATTAAAAATCCGTTTCTGAGACTGAAGTACGATTGGTAAAAAAAAACATGGCGCAACTGTCCCTTTAATTTTTTTGATTAAGGCCGATATGGAAATTAATCATGGAAACGGAATGACCAAATTAAACAGGTGTACGGATATTGTAGGTAGATTTAAGATTTCGTGTTCTACTTTGAATATAGAACCAGTTTATTTGACACATCTGAATGGCCACAGACTAATTGCGGATGAACACGCTGAATAAAAATCGATTTTATGATCGAAGTTACTTATATTTTCTTCAAAACAGTGTGGAATTATAAACTGTATACTCGTCACAGGTGACATAAGTCGATGAGTAGTTGTTAACAAAACATACAAAATTGATGATGGCAAAATAGATAATAAATAAACCAAGTACTAACGATCCGAATCGCAAAACGAAGCCCGAAATCCAAACAACATATTGGCGAAACATTAGAAGCAGGCAATGAACTTATCACTTGCGGAAGTATTATCAATTATAAATGAGTAAGAATTTCATAATGAAAAGTGGTACCAGGTGTCTAGAAGAGTAATTATATGACTGACTCGGGCCACAGAATTATCAATTAAAACATCACTTACCAACAGTAAAATTAAAGTTGCTAAGGTTGCTGGAAATCATTCGTGCTGAAATGAACCATTCAGACGAATTGCCCAAATAATGATATTCTAACGACAAATCTTTAACGTTTATTTCCCCATTGTCCATTCTATGAGCATACGGACAATATAGGAAATATTCAGCCTTGAATTCCCTTGCATCGTAACAGTTACCAGCTGCAAATATGTCCGGATCACTCTCCACGATTGAGCGAACTTGGGTGTAAAATAAATACTCAGATTCTAAAACGCCTGGTTCAGCCTTTTTCCAAATACGCGTTAAAAAGTTCGCTCTGTTCACAGCAACTAATGCCTGATTTTTGAAACGATACAGTCCATATTGTGTTTTCACACCTTTGCCTAGATTATGATGTGTTCCAGGCGTACAGTTCCCTTTATTTTTCTTGTATAATTCCACTTGCTCCAAGAATTGTTCAATAACGTCTGATTCGGATTCTCGACTTAGATTTAAAGATGGTCTGAGTTCAGAGTCAACGAAATCAACAGTTGAATTTAGATTTTGATTGTAGTTGTATATGGTGTAGTTCACAATATTCGAAGAAGTTACAGAAAACAAAGAGACGGTGTAATAGTAGTATATCCATGCACTGGCGTCTACATATTTAAATATCATAATGCTTTTCATTTTAAATTTTAAAATTGATAAAGAATGTTCAAACCATATAAAAAAAACCTTTTATAATGGCTGTTCTAATTTTCCTAATTATGAACAAAACACAATTTTTTGCATAATACTAATTATCATATTATGAAACACGAAATCGGACAGAAAAAGGTTTTGTATTTCCCATTAGGTCAATCGTGGGAGAAATGTCTACGTTCTTTTGTATAGTCATTACGGCATAAATCACTAATTGTACCGATATAATATAGATCTCATTTTATATTAATATATCCAGCATTGTTTCACATCCTGGAGAACCGAAGCTAGCAGAATTCCAGACATTTAATATTCCACATACTCCATAGTCTTCATAACTAACAGCACAAATGTAATAGTTATTGATTTTCTTCATTTACCACTGATCTTTTCCAAGCGCCATTTTCTCCACTACTGAAATCCAGCACTAAATCACTCAACCTTTGATCCACACACTTTTTGATGTCTAAACGAAGCACAGAATACCAAGATATACATTGGTAAAATAAGCATTATGGTGATAACGCCATTTGCTTGACAGTTCCCTACAAGGTTTTGTCTTGCTAGCGATTGATTGATTTTCAGCATTCGCTCACACTGGCGTGTAACGAAACACAGAACTGATTGTTCGTTGAAAACTCGGTATATATTGATGAAAATAAATCGATATAAATGCTACATTAGACTATTTTCTCAGACGCATATTCCTCCTATCTTCCTGACAGCTTAGCATCATTCTTTGAAGACGTTTATGATTTGATAAAATTGCGTAAATGTAGAGCTTTTTGATTAACAATCGAGTTATGAGAGCAAAGGCAAAAGAATCTGCGGGGTTAGTTGATATCAAAGCAAGGATGCTCTCTTCTCGTGTAAAAGACAATAAACATTAATTATTATACTTTTATTTTCCATGAGCCATACTTAGGTCCATTTCAGAGTGTTATTCGTGTCTCAAACAATGTCAACCTAATGGTTATAATTGGTATTTAAAGCTAACATTATGTTTATTTATTACATAGCAAAAGGTTGAGGACTTTGCTGGACGACTGTATCCGAAGTCATTCTTGCATCTGTCACTAGCGAAATCGGGTATGCTCACTTGTGCGGAAACCCTTATGACACTCTGTGGATGGGTTTGCCAACTTGCACTACTTTCGAAGTGTTCACAAAATCATTCTTCCACACACTGGCTTTGGATATTTGAATTCAAATTTTTGGCCGTACTGTATACAAAGACAAGAAATGCAAGTTTTGACGGGGTATGCTCGTTCAACTGGCACACCTATAGGTGCCCTACCATTGGGGTTATTAACAACCCTCTCGGAAAGTCCACATTGGATATGGGGACTTATTATTGAATCAAATAGCATAATTGCGAAACATCGTATGGGCAAAAACCAAAATGCATATCGCAACAATAAATATTTGCCTACAATACCCATCGTGCAGAAAAGTAGGACGTAAAACTCCATTCATTTCATTTCATTTACAATACCCATCAAAAGGGTCCACTAGCAGTGTGTTTTGATCGGCGTTGTCGTCCTGAAGAATTATTAGAGTAGCATAGAAGCATAGAAAAGATGTCAGAGTCTGATCAGGCGCCCTATATAACACAATGTGCAAACTACGTAACTACGTTATTCTATATTATGCATACCATTGGGGTACTCTGCTTAGAAAAAGTGGTTTGTACCCCAGTTCATTTTTTACATATTTTTATTTAGAACCATATCAGACACTCCATGGGAGTTAACATATTAGCCTAAAATATATGGCGCTTTCACATTTTGAATCTCACCTCTGGCAGTTATCACCAAATTGAATCAGTTTGTACCCCTAGTCTTTGGAGGCTGGTAAAACAACTGTTGTATATACATTCATGGACCTGTTCACGAAGAAAGGGCCAAGGTGTGTTTTCACAATAATGTTGCTCTTTAACAACTTTTTAAAAAATTCAATTTATTGCCGGTATTGAAATGACTATATTGAAATGCCCCGTGAAATTAGAACGGAAATTATTTCGTAATCCCTAATAAATCCTGTACGCTCAATCAGACTCTGCTACACTAATAAACATAGAGAGGAAATGAAATCAGACTCGATCAAATGAAGGGTTTGTAAATACATATTTAATAATACAAACATTCATCCATATCGGAATCGCAACCGGATATGATGATCGGATCATAACACCGTTCATTCAAGCCACAGAAAAACGGCTTACTTAAGAAATGAGATTTTGATTAAACTGCATAGCGATTTTATGAATGAATAGATGATGCTATTGTTGTCATATTCACAAGTCCACTTCTGTAACTCTTCATGCAGACAATCCACAGAGTCGAGTTCCTGACATAAAGGCCAGATTCTGTGGAAGGATGTTATAACCCACGATAAAGTAAAAAAAATAATTATGCAATATCTTCTTTTGGATAGCATTGGATTTTCTCATCAGGCACACAAAAGATATGAAAATGAGTGTGGTACTTTTTTGCTCCAGATTATGCAAATAAAGAAATGCAACGCCTATTGTAAAGAGGAAAATTTGTCAGGGAAAGTGGTATTAGTGTACAGTTTCCAATTTCCAACTATAATCCAGAGGCATCCCCAAAGGAATTGTGAAAAGGTTTTATAATTTTTTTAAGTGTATAGGGGACACTTAAAGCATAAACTTTCAACATTAAAATTTTCAATCAGACGTCTGTGTTTGATGACGTCACTAATCGCGAAAGGGCCTTATATTAGCATATTTTGCGATTAGTGACGTCATCAGACACTTCCAGGAATAGCTGGAACCAAGGGAGTTTGGTTGAAAATTGGAATAGGGTAAATTCATTAAGCACAACAGGTAATTAAATTTGAGAATTCCAAGCATGTCCTTTTATTCTGAAGCTTTACCTTTTATTCTGAGGTTTTACCTTTAATTCTGAAATTTTATCATTTATTCTGAATTTTTATCATTTATTCTGAAGTTTTACCCTTTATTCTGAAGCTTTACCTTTTAGAACTAATGACTAAAACTAAATTGGGTCATAAGTTTGCAGATAAATGTTCTACTATAACATAATGTGAGAATTATTCTATTTAGACAACCATCCCAAGCGTCAAAAACTATAATTATGTTATATTATATTATTTATGATAAACATAATTGTCGTGACATTTCAGAATAAATGTTTATCACAAATACCAGAACACACGGGCATTAATAGCTTTTATATGCAATTAATTCAATCATACCGATGCAAACCATTAATTAAGATGGAGGTCGTTTTGAATCTATTACGGATATTTGAAATATTTCTGCTCCAGTTTGGGGTAATACAGATTGGCAATAACTTGCAGTGTGTATCAGCCTACAATTTTCCCATACATAATTACCGATGGTTCTTACATGAAAATAGCACACACGAACGTAGTTCACAACCATTTTGATTCTCTTCTTCGACGTAATAAGTCGAAATTTTTAAAAAGGCTTTAATATTTCAACAAAGCCTTAAATCACATTTAGAGCCATGTCTAATCCTTTAAATGAGAATTGAAGGCTTTGTTGAAATATTATAACCTTTGTCGAAATTCGACTTATTTAGTCGAGGAAGAGATTCAAAATGGTCGTGAACTACATTCGTGTGTTGTTTCTATGTAAGAACCATACTTAGATTCGTAAGGCAGCGTACATAGTCCTACTCTTTCGAATTCCAATTGTCGAGGGTACCTTTCATAGAATGTAGCTGGACGACTTGCATCGTTATCAGGCAAAACCCGTTGAACAAAACAGTAGGTAATTTCTCGAAGTAAGACAACATCTAACCCGGAAAATGTTCTTAACTAATTGCCGCATGAAATATTTACCGTCAATTCGTTTTAGGTGTATCTTTTGACTCTTTATGCTTATCAGGCAGTCTTGCGTAGATATTGGTAAATGAATTTTGTCACGTTGTCGATGCGGTAAATCAATATTGTTCTTAAGGAACGAGTTTTATATTTCCTTTTAAAGAGACAGATTTGCCATTTTCGGGGTTCGATTTGGCTCTCGAAAATACTTCTAAAATCTTTAGAACTACCCGAGATGTACAAACACCACATAATTAAAAAATAGCTCAATCTAGCAATTTCCTTTCTCTTTTTCCAATATGGAAGAGTCTCAAGATAAGACGAGTCCTCATTTTAACTTTCAAACACAGATAATTCTGGACACACATGGATTCGAAGACTCAACTTTCTGCGGCGAACTGTGAACACTATTACCGGCTTAGCTAAAAAAAATGCCCGTATCTGAGTATAAGGTACGGTTGATCAAACGAATGGCGAACTTGTCTCTTTAAGCGTCAGTATTTCCGATTTTTAGCATATTATGCTTAATATGTCATTATATCTCATCTTTTTTTACGCCAAATTGCTGCTGAAGTTAAATATTCTTCACTTTTCCGAATAATTTCTTGACGACAGTTTCATATCTTTCCGTAGTTTTTAGTTATTTTTTTGTAGAACTGTTCATACAAGTCAAATTAGAATTCGAGAGTTGGTCCTGGCATGATACATCGGTGAATAGATACACAGCGATGCGTGGTCGTTTATCGATACTACATTACACAATATTTGAATATTGTTCAAATATTTTACAATGAGAAAATGCATATTTCCACTTAAAAATTTGTAATTTTGGGCCTTTGCAAGAGCCTCCACTGCATATCGCGATACGTATTGTATCATGGCATAACCAGCAATACCCATCACTAAAATACGTCTTTTTATTATACGATATAACAATTAATAGAATACAGTACAGATATGATTTAATTCATGCTGACTTCTTGAGATAAGAGAATGATAAAATATGTCCTATGTTATCTTACTCTGTATCTGATATTTTAATGATAAATAATAAATCATCAACCGTATGAACTTTAGATCGAGAGACACGTTACAGAATGGATTGGATGAGGGATTCTATAAGTAAGTAAACATAAGAATACTTCAGCAAACTTTTAAAACTCAAACTCATGAAGTCATGTGTTGTCACTCTATAAGTTAAAGATGGGCTTCCGCATTGTTTTCAGTCAAGTTCAAGAAAATATATTGCTCGGTTATGGGTGTATCTCATGAATAATTCACGTACTCTTGAGTTAAAGGGATAGATGCGCCATTTTTTGTCCAATCATACTTCAGTCTCAAAAATGGGAATTTATTTAGCTAAGCATATCAGTAATAGTGTTCACAGCTCACCGTCGAAATTTGGGCCTTCAAATCCATGTATGTCCAGAACGATCAGCGTTTGAATGTTAAAATGACGACTCGTCAATTTATGAAAAGACATAATATAGAAATAGCGAGTAACATTCCTGGTCTGAAGTATTTCTTAAGCAATTGTGCGATTTTCGTACATTTCTAGTACTTCTGAAGACTATTTACTTCTGAAGACTAAAATCAACCCTCCAAATGGCGCATCTATCCATTTAAGGACCATGCACATAGAACCGACAGGAGATCCGTTGGATTCGAAATTTAGTGGTAAAGTTTAAAAAAGAATCAGATTTAAAGCAAGAGACAATATCACATTACATCATAGCATACACATACAAAAATGTACTAGGACTTCGTATCAATTCGTACATGTATCAAGTTTGAGCTCGATTCTTCTGCTACGTGTTACCACATCAAACATGTGTGAGACTAAGGTACGATTGGTCAAAACAATAGTGCATCTGTATCTTTAAGAACCATGACAGCCCCATAATATTCATAGATACACCAGCCTTAAGGGACTTGGTAACAATTCGTACATATATCAAAGTCAGCGCTCGATTCCGCTACCACATCAAATATTTTATTAGGATGAAATGTTGAAGTTGACAAATAATCTTGGGATCAAATGACGTTTTTTTGGGAAATAATTAAAGAAAAACAGATCTGATCAAAATTCTTAGAAAATTATAGGTGAAATTCAACATTTTGTCAGAAACTGTCTAGACTTCCGAATAACGCCAAGTAATAAGTAAACGGTATGGTAATTTTTTGTGAATTTCATTTAATTTCCAGAATATGGGGGATGGTTTGTGTTCACAGTAAGTCTTCTGTTTCAAAATGTTGTTGGTGTCATGGATAAAGAAGCGGGATGTACGAATCCTGCTCCTCAACCAGGTAAGCTCCTTTTGGATTGCCAATTTACAGTCCAATAAAACTTTCATTCCATTTTTATATTAGCTTTTATTTTTAATATAGCCACTTCAGTTAGGTTCTAACGACAGCCCTCTTGAATGTTCGTCAAATTAACCCTAACTCGATGACGTTTGTTTTAACCAATCAAATTTCTACCCTCTCCAGCGCTGTCATTTTGTGACGCGGTGTTTATCAGGTTGGAACAAAAGGTTGATTTGACGAACGTTCAAGGGGGCTGTCGTTGGACCCTAACTAAATTAAAAACAGTTAATAAAAAGGGAACGAAAGTTTGGTCTTATTTTAATTAGACTGCGGTTACTGGACGAACTTTGAAATATCTATATCAAATTCGTAATAAAGCATTTGATGAAAAATAGAGTGAACTCCTTTTGCTGACATTACCCGAAAAGTCCATGTTGACTTATCAACAAAAACCTATATAACTTTCAACACAGGGAGAAAAGACTGGGGTACAATTCCTATTTGAACCTATAGAAGTCGATTTTGAAGTATTAGTTATAATTCTACTGAATTTTTCCAGCCGCGGATCGACAGCCGACAAAACCAACGTTACCAAACACCTACGAGGTTCACATAGAATGTATTATAATGAATAAGAATCAATCTACAGAAGTACATGAATTTTTTGATTATGATGGAAATCGAGGTGCAATACGACAGCGGCAAGAAGGTTCAACCCTGTGGGCATATTATGATTATGATTCAAACGAATTTATATCGCTTACCAAGGATGACGGTTAAGTATTACTTTTAGTGAAGTTTCCGTGTCTATTTGATTCGCTATATACTATCGCTCCCCTAATACTAGCCCGACTAATCTGGCTCTACCACTTCATCAAACTTGATATGCGGACGTAATTTCGTCACAATTAGAACCATAAAGATACAAAAAGTTGTGACATGCTTTTGTCATGGTAAAATTTTTCGGGGTAAAAAAGGATCGGGTTTAAAGAGTGAAATTTTATGTCTGGTTTAACCGTGACAGAAAAGTAGGACGTAAAACTCCATTCATTTCATTTTGACCGTGACAATATCACATCAATATATCACGTCAGGGGAACTGGTAGTGCAAGATTTGTCGGCAGTTGGATATCATTTTCTTTGCTATAGTCTTTAGTGAAATGTTGTTTTCTGGTGTGGCTGAAAATCTTATTGTAGGTTACCTTTTTCCGCAAATGCCAGAAATTCGTTCCATTATATTAACCGTGAAAGTGATGGATAAGCATGAATAATCTTCTATATTGCCCTGTTTTGTCATAATTGGATGAAGTAAAGCATGCAATCAACAGTAGCTGTAAAATATAAAAAATCAAATGGACTTTGAACATATTTATATTTCTATCTACAGATAAATGTATCGTGACTGATTTGGGCAAGACAGCCGAGAGATTTTTGTTTGGGTACAGTACTGCTGGTTCAGGGGATCATATATTTTCTGCAGCAGGTGCTCTGCACTTTGGAGGTGATGTTGTAGAGACTTATGTTGGCAAAGACGTTACTAGAGGAATTGGAACGAGATCCTGGTATTCGTGTCAATACTGGAAAAATATGGACGCTACCATGGATGTATGGTGGTACTTTTCAGGTATGACTTTTATGAAATGTGAGCGTGTATTTTATTACTTTATCACGATAGATGGCAGTACATACATATTTATATAACGCATCAACAGCATAACCTATGAAAAAGTTTGAAAGACCAAGTAAGGATAGATCGCGTTAGTATTTCAACAAAATGTATGGCAGATTAGTTATTGGTTCCGGATGATTTCAAATTATGTTATGGTGCGGACACACAAGCAGTCTTGGTCGTTGATTTTTGTCGCCGACTCGACTCGACTCGACTCGAGTAAAGTCTCGCCCATGCTCCGCATCCACGTGTGCCCGTCGGTTAAACTCTTGACACGACTCTTGTTAGCGACAAAAAGTCGCCGACCAAGACCATCCGCGTGCCCGCAGAGTAACTTGAAAGTGTCTTGAAAGAGTTTGTTAATTTAAAACTACATTGATGATCAAATTATATTTCAGATCCCGACAATTGGGATACAGCGTTGGGATTGCCTGAAATCCCAATCAGGGCTCATGTCAAGGGTATAGCATACAGTCCGGACGGTGTCTCTCACACCTTTGAGCATATCTATGATTTTGTTCATTTTAAAAACTATATTGAAGAGACAAATGTGTTTGAGGTATGTTTTTTTGTGTCTTTCTTTAGATTTTATAGGTAGGATTTTCGATATCTCCAATTCTCCAGAATACAAGCAGAACAGACACTTTTGCTTTAAATCAGATCCATCGCCAAAAAATGATACAAAAGCCAATTTTAGCCCATATGTAGCAGTTTATTTATAACTCTCTTACAGGGATGGTCAATGCTACGGGCAACCGCTTTGTACAATGATAAATTTCTCTGATCTGAATGAGTTGACGTGACTTTAGATATTGTTATTTTCATAAACAAAGAATACTAGAGCGTTGGTTCCTTACATGACGTCATTTTCTTGGCAAGACCTCGAATAAGTCATCTTTACTCATAACTCATGGGCTGCAAATGGGTACGGATAATCCTGGACAGATGAATATCAAGTTTGACGAAGGACCAGCTGTTAGAAAGGATCCTTAATTGTGAAATTGTGTTGTTATCCTTGTAAAATATAGTTTTTTTGTTTGTTTTTCTATCTGTATTGTATTGGGATTTTATTTTTGCAGTCCAAGTGAAACTTTATTCTTTTTTCCTTTTCAGACTCCAAGTATGGTAATTTGCCCCAACAGAAAAAATACCAAGGTCTTTCCACAATTGCCTGACGCTTTCTCTTTCACTGTAGAAATAGTTGATCTTGTTAGGAAGTCGGTCAGCTTTATGACGGTATGTTATTCACCTTTCCTTCAAAAAGTTAATAAAGGCCATAAAAACCCGAGCAGGCAATCAACCTTTTGCTGCGAAATTTGGTCATCTTTACAAGCAACCAGTAAAAACTGGACTGGTTTCGCTGGTTGAGTCGCGATTTAAAATTTTTCAAAGCATTTTGAGATGGTGTGGTGTTTCAATTTTGCCCTACATCCGGCAACAGACTGGGCCAGCAAAATATGAAGCTATGAGTTCGCCAGCTGGGCATCAACATCTTTCAGAAAAGGTTTAAATCTGTTGATGGTAGATTCATTACAAATTAGATATGAACAAATTACAGAAGCTATTTGCCCCTAAGATATTCTGTAATTTCAATATCATTAGTGTGTTGACTGAAGCGGGAAAACATTACGCAGGTGTCTATATGCAATTTTCATTGCTAACATGCTTTGTTACATTGAAAGGTCCTACATGACTCAAATTTGATTCTGCTCCTTATATTTCTGTAACGTCATATTATGTTACCTTTCAGGAAGCGTATGATAAAAGCAATAATGTGACAAGGTTACATCTCAAGCCAAGCGAATTGGAATCAAGTCCTTATGGGTTTAGACCCTTAACTCAAATACACGACTTTAACACGGGTAGGTGTGGGCTTTTTGTGAAAAGGCCATTCTGACATTGATTATGAAGTCATTTTGATGCTACACTGTCTAACACGCATTATGCCTATATCTACAAATTCTGAATCGAAATTATAAATTTCCACCTCAGGCATATTACACATAACTCACTTACGCCTAACCAATCTATCACTTACTTCGCCTGTACTTTTAACTGCAATGGCTACCTTTCTTATATCAAGAAATAAAGCGATTTAATTGGATTGTATGCTAGCGAATTAAGCCAATCATGGCCCTTGGCAGAGCGACCGAAAAACATCTTGGCTTATTGTTTACCGACGTTCTTTGGAGGACTCTGATTGACTGTATTCGTTGGCGTACAAATCAAATCGCTGCATTCCGTGATACAAGAAAGGTGACTATTGCAGTCAAAGTATAAGACGCAGTTCGTAATTGCTTGACATTGTGAAGATTACGAAATGAAATCTTTCATGTTTTGACTTCCTTCGTGGAAACATACTTTTGCAAACATCTTCTGATTGATGTTGAGGGAAAGGTTCCGACGTCATCAACTGTCAGTCGTAAATAATACCCATTTTCTATTGCATTCAAATTAGGTGTTGCCTATATTATGGACGATATGTATGGAAACTGTTCCATTATTCCAATACAACCAGATTTTGTCGACAACAAAATATCACAATCTGGTTACGTAAAAATGAGAACATCAAATGAATTCTTCGATGTAGACAACGTAAAATTAACATACGAAGGAGTAGTAAGTATTGTCTTGTTTTGTATGTAAAAATGAGTACATCAACATTGATGGGCCTCGGTCTACCATTATCAGTGTCAAACAGAGCGTTCCTAAAAGTTTTGTTCATCATCAAGACCATATAAAGTGACAAGTTTATCTTGTGACAAATTAACCTTGTTTCAAATTTATCTTGTGACAAGTTAACCTTGTTTCAAATTAACCTTGTTTCAAATTTATCTTGTGACAAATTAACCTTGTTTCAAATTTATCTTGTGACAAGTTAACCTTGTTTCAAATTAACCTTGTTTCAAATTTACCTTGTTTCAAATTAACCTTGTTTCAAATTTATCTTGTGACAAATTAACCTTGTTTCAAATTTACCTTGTAACAAATTAACCTTGTTACAAATTAACCTTGTAACAAATTTACCTTGTAACAAATTTATCCAGTGACAAATTTACCTGGTAAAAAATTTATCTTGTAAAAAATTTATCTTGTAACAAATTTACCTTGTGACAAATTTACCTTGTTTCAAATTTATCTTGTGACAAATTTACATTGTGACAAATTTACCTTGTGACAAATTTAACTTGTGACAAATTTATCTTGTGACAAATTTACCTTGTGACAAATTTATCGTGTGACAAATTTAACTTGTGACAAATTTAACTTGTGACAAATGTACCTTGTAACAAATTTAAATTGTAACAAATTTAAATTGTAACAAATTTACCTTGTAACAAATTTACCTTGTGACAAATTCATCTTGTGACCATATCACTTTGACTCATTTTCTATTTGATTAAAGCACTGTAACCATTACTATGACAAAGTACTGTACTTCTATATTACTTGTTATCATTTCCGATTTTTTGAATTTCAGAAAACAACACGTAACATACCTTGTGATACATGGGTTGGAAGAAGAACTACTGTAGATGCCGTAGGAACTCCAATGAATGTTACATGGGAATGGTATTTCAAGACAGTACGTATTTTTCGGCCTTTCTTTGAAGGTGCATATCGTGTTTCTGAAGTTTTAATGATGGGAGGCACGTAAATAGGTTCGATGTATTTTAGTTCAAGACTGGCAAAATGGCAACCGAGCGCCCCGGCGTTCCTTTCCAGATTTTAAAGAATTCAGGGGGTGTGGGGGTAGGGGTCTCGACCTGGAAATGTGGGAAGCTGGAGAATACATCTAACGCGACTTTGGAGGTGAAAGTAGAATGAATTTTTATCTTTTATGGTCCAAGGGGCGGGAAGAGGGTACATGGCCCAAGAATGACTACTTAAATACGGCACTGATTATTCCATAAGTATTTTTCAACGAGTCTCAGATAAAGCAGTCTCGGGGACAAAGCAGATAAAGCGATCTCAGGGACTCAGATAAAGCCGTCTCAGGGACTCAGACAGAGCAGTTTCAGGGACAAAGCATATAAAGCAGTCTCGGGAACTCGGATAAAGCCAACTCTGAGACAAAGCAGATAAATCAATCTCAGCGACTCAGATAAAGCCGTTTTAGGGACAGAGGAGATAAAGCAGGCTCAGAGACTCATATAGAGCCGTCTCAGGGACTCAGATAAAGTATTTTGACCCGTCAACTTTACGGAGGTCATTCGGCATAATCATATAACCTTTGAAACAGCAAGATGATTTTCTAGTCACTCTACTTTGTTGGCTTTTTATGGTGCCATAAATTTAATGTGTTTCCTACAATGCATTTATATAAAACAAAAATTGATTGATATTGCCCTCTCACCCTTAATTGATACATTTCCTTTTACGAAACTCAAAGGTTCATGAAATGTGCAGTTTTCTTTTCACTTAACGTAGCAAATATTCCTCAATAATTTCAGCAGTAAAAAATATTTATTACAATTTCTTTAGATATTAATGTTCCTGATAGAACCATTATTCTTCTTATATTTCCAGATTCTGAAGATTATGGATTTTCATTTCATATTTTCAAAATAGACCATTCAAACCAACTGCACGTACCTCTCTCGCTACTGCCTGTGCCTATGCTTTCGTTACATTACTTAACCGCAACCTACAATTCCAATAGTTAATGTGTAATTTCAGGATGATTGGACATCAGTTGAACAAACAGATGAGGTTTCTTCTGCAATGGGGTCTCCAGTGCAAATAAGATATCAATATGCTGACGTAAGTTTTTGGTATTCTTAGTATAATAGGCTGTGAATTGTACAAAGGAAAAGTCGACCCTTTTAATGTTATGTCATCTTGACAACGAGATTCATTATAATGATATTTTTTTCATTTCATTATGGTGCGGACACACGAGCGGTCCTAGTCGCCGATTCTTTAGTCGGTCGTTTTCCGTCATGTTGATTATCACGTGCGGGGCATGCAATTTAAAAGAAAATGATTCTGATTGGACGATAGCGGTCTAACTATCAAAAAGACAATTGCCAAACTTGTTTGATATAAAAACAAAGGTATTTTTTTTAAGCCAATCAAAACGCGTCATGTTAAACCCGAATAAGAGTTGTGGTATAGCGAAACAAAAAGAGGGCTCTCGTATAGGCCTACTTTTGATACCCTACAATTTCTTATTTTATCAAGATTCGGGTTTATGTTACTGCCAGCAAGATGCAATGTTCTTCAATGTATTAACAAATGCATAATACTGAAAGCGGACGGATTTCAGATGGCCCGAAATGAATTGTGAGCGATTAAAAGGGCAAAATGTTCACTTCAAATAAGACCTATCGCGGGCTTGGGTGGGTGGGGGATGACCGACACCCTAAATACGACACTGAAAGCAAAGCTAGTACTTAAGAAGCATTTTTGCGATCTTCTAGTTGTTTTGCATGGACCTTTTCTTGTGTTTTTCAGTATGATGAGTTCCAAGTATATAACTTTTATGGTTTTTCTCAAGAACACCAAGATTTAATGAATTATGACATAAGCCAGTGTTATAACAACAATCAGAAAATTAAAATAGATTTTCAAATTCCAGGTAATCTACATGTTTTTAATCGAAATATTCTGAAATATTGTTAAAAGTTCAGATAGTGGAAATGTGGCTTTTGAAAGGAAAAATTAAGTACACTGCCAAGATCTTTCATGAAAAATTTCAAACAAGTAATCTGCTAAATCTTGAAATTTGGTTATGAGTTCCCGTACATCAATTCTTGATTCTTGAAGTATCTTGTGCTCATTGTGAACTCAAAACGCATTTATGAAGTATCTTGCTCATTTTGAACTCAACAAGCAGTTATGAATTATCTTGCTCATTTTGAACTCAACAAGAATTAATGAAGTATCTTGCTCATTTTGAACTCAACAAGCGGTTATGAAGTTTCTTGCTCATTTAGAACTCAACAAGAATTAATGAAGTATCTTGCTCATTGTGAACTCAACATGCATTTATGAATTATCTTGCACATTTTGAACTCAACAAGCATTAATGAATTATCTTGCTCATGTTGGACTCAACAAGCATTTATGAAGTATCTTGCTCATTTTGAACTCAACAAGCATTTATGAATTATCTTGCTTATTTTGAACTCAACAAGCATTTATGAAGTATCTTGCTCATTTTGAACTCAACAAGCATTTATGAAATATCTTTCTCAGTTTGAACTCAGCAAGCATTTATTTAGTAATTTGCTTCATTTATAACTCAACAAGCGTTTATGAAGTATCTTGCTCATAATAAACCCAGTAAACATCTTCTCCATAATAAACTTTACAAGTATTTAAGAAGTTCATATAAGTATTTAAATACGGTCTGCTTCAGGTAAATATCAGAAAAATGCAGAAGATAATCGAATACTATTTCTGTACAGTACACTGGTCTCATTAGCTGGTTATATGGATGTTTCTCCACTTCGAATATCACATATTCAGGTAACATTGCTCCTATAAATACCACCATTGATCTTATAAATACCAACATTGCTTTTATAATACCAACATTGCTCTTATAAATACCAATAGGTTTGATCAGGTCCCAAAGCCTTGAGTTGTTGGAATGGGAAAATGAATCGTGGACCTATACGAGGCATAATTCTGGATCCCTCGATGGTTGAAAATGAACACAACTGCACCTTAAAATTCTAATATAAAGTGTGGCAAATATCCTCGATGTTATTTTTCGAAAAGGCTGAAAGCTATAGCATGTCGTGTTGGCGGTGTTGTCAGTAGAGCAACAAGTCCTCTTCCGGTTCTGAAGAGCTAAAATAGCCTTGCCTTCAGAAATCAATGAAGGTAAAAGACTCGAAAGATCAGTTGATTTTATCAGTTAAACAGGGTTGCTGATAAAGGATGTTTTTCTTTTTCCAACAGCTTGTAAACGGTGATGATAATCTCCATGTACAGTTCGATTTGTTGGATGCTGCGCCTTTAATAGGTGATATTCAAATACTGAAAAGGGAAACACCTTTACAAGATGCAGTTCTGATTTTAAAGAAGGCCATTGATTCAAACGATCTAGTGATACTCCTAGTGTCAGAGACAGAGCAGCAGGTAAAAATAGGATATTCTTTAATTTAAATCATAGTGCAGAAATTGAATGGCATTTGTAAAATCTACACCGTTGATCGCTTTCGCTTTTTATATATGAAGTTTTCAATTGTTAGTAACATATATTGAAATTTGGTTCGCCATTGCATTGTAAAAGAAATTCGACGTATGTAAAATCTACTGAAACAAGCATAGACTCGATGAGCAGAATATGAACACCTTTTTACGATATGACATTAATACTGATGAGCGGCAAAAAACAGAATTAGGAATCTGAGTTGATAATTTTATGGGACAACAGACAGAGGTCTCTTTTACTAATGGCTGTGTATGTCAATGTGCATGTCCCTCGACTTATGTTAAGTAAGTTGGTTAAGATTTCCTTCATCGCGCACTGCATGGCTTGGTCGGTCTTCATTACCTCCTCAGATAAAGAAAGCAAGACCATTTTTTTCATATGAGCACATGTATTTAATTTGCAGATAATCTTACGCGGACTTCCTCTTTTACAGGTCATTCCTATAACAGTGGTTCAAGGTTCCATGGTGAGCTATACGTATGGTTCCACATTAGATGCTATTAATTCAAAGAAAAGCTCTGATTATGGTCCTGGATCTATGGCGGGGTTAGCTGTTGGTATGATTGCATGTGGGGGCCTAATGGGTGTATTAATGGTCATAAAATTCTTCTAAATATAGTAACTTTACAATCATTTGTAGAATAAATCTGCATAACATTGATAAAAGGTGCCCTCACACCATAACGATTACCAGTTGCGCATGGTTGAACGTTGGCATGCGTTCCGAACTCAGTTGCATGAGAGTTGCGTTCGGAACATATGGCCGCTTTCTTATTCGCAACCATACGCAATGGAGTGAGGGCCGCTTTAGATTGAGAATTCCGTTCAACAGCAGTGACAAGAACTTCTACATCAAATCAAAATATTGCCAAAAAAAGCGTACAGCACTACCATTTTCCAATCTTCACAATGTCAAGCTATTACGACCTTATACATTGACTCCAAAAGCCACATTTCTTGTATCACATAATGCATCGATTTCATTGGGTTGTTCGCTTGCGAAACGAAACAGCCAATCAGAACACTTGACAGACAGACTTTTAACATTATGACTTGGTGTTAACAAACATCTTTTCGAGGCCTATGATCCTGATTGGCTGTATTTGCTAGCGTACACATCAATCAATTCGCTGCATTTACAAACTTCAATGATACAAGAAAGGCAGCTATTGGAGTCAAGGTATAAGCCAAAGGTCGTAATAGCTTGACATTGTGAAGATGAGATTTTCCAAACATCATCATTCGATAAGGAAAATCATTCCCTTCATATAAACGGACAGCAAATGTCAAGAATTGTAGCTTTTCAGGAGGAACATCAGTAAATTCGATAAGGGGTTCCTTATCTTGATAAAAACATGCACTCTAAAACTATAATAATATATCTTTTTGTGTATTAAATGAAATTTTTGTTCCATAATCTTCTGGTAACCATGCTTATCGTGGAGTTCTGTCACACGATTGAAGGCCGTTTGACTTCAATGACTTGTAACTGTCAGTTACGTTTTTATCTGGCTATCAGAAGCAAGAGAAGTTCTCTCCGCTTCAATTAAAACAATCGATTTGGTTACATTCTGCAATGCAGGTGACTGCAGTTCACCAGAAATCCTAAGGCCGTTAACAATAATGCAGGAGATATATCATAATAATGAAATAATATTTAAAAGGCGATAATAACAGCAATCATTTTCCACATCCAAAAATATGTGATATACTGCTTACTGATATATGACTGACTAAATGAATATACAAATAACTTAAATAACCAAATCTTTCTCCATATTTTATGTTTCGTTAATTGCACGTTTTATAGTGCACATATCATTAATAAATAAATAAATAAATAATAATAAATACGAATCTGTATATAAATAAATAAATGCTACACATATTCAAATAAACAAATAAACAGATACAATAAATTCCCCTATTTCACAATAGAATTGATACAGTATCCATCTGTGAATATCAAAAGGATTATAAAGAGGTTTTCTAAATTTGTGTATGTGTATGGGAGAAGCTGGTAACTCTCAACAGTAGCGGAGCAAAAAGGTGGGGGGGGGGCATAACTAGGTTAAACATTCGGACAAACTCAGAAGTCTCGCCCCATCCCCTCGCCCCCTCTTGCACGTAAGCCTTGCTCCGCCATGACGTCAATCGCGCAGGACGTTATGTGATAAATTGCTGTATTTGTTACCACTGGGAAATGGGAAGTTTCTTTTTAGGAAGTTTTAATTACCACTTGATTCTATTCGGGACACATTTAAAAAATTAGTATAGACACATGTCTTCAAGAGAGAAATATACTTTATTTGCATAGTCCAATATACGATTCAGTGTCCCACACTTATACGTCATATGAAGTCATAATTCGTAAACTCGAGGTAATTTTATCTGCTCGAGTTCTTCAGTAGAAATCTTCCGAGCATAAGTTAATTTAACGAATGCTATTTACTATTTCGGAAGTAAAGAAGTCATAAAACACTCACTTTTAGCGGAATTGCTATACGCTCAGATGTTCTGATTGAAAATTGGAATGGTACAAATTGATGCTATCAGTGTCTCTTAAGCACATAAAAAATTTAAAAAACTTCTTTACAATCCCTTGAATAGACCTTCCACATGATGGATACAACGTCACTGCGGTCGTATCAACTAAACTCGTCTCTTTACCTTGGCACTTGATGTTTCATACAAAACTAATCGGACAGTCAAAACAAGGTGAGCTGAATATCTATCACATCCATATTAAATGAATTAAGCTACAATTTTCCACTGGGTAATACAAGAGTCGGGGCCTCCAACAGCTATTAAATATTTCCCATCAGACGAAAAGCACAGAGAATGGACCTTCATTATAACATACATGTGGCAGTACTGAAATTAAAAAAAAAACAGTATATAATTTACGTTTACATTTTTAGGGTTTTACTCAATCGCCTGTTATTCGCTGTATTCCCTTCAGCAACGTACTAATATCACAAGGCTCGTTCGATAAATCCCAACAAAATCCCTACATAACTAAAACAGGGTAGGTATGCTCTGATTCTTATCATAACTAAGTGTCGGAACTCAGTTAGTGTTTTACTGATAGTTTGGATAGGGAATAGTTTTTAGCTCGATGTAACTGAATGTGAAAAATTTCCAACTCACCGCTTTCTGAGTACAGGGGTATTGAAATAACCCAATATGCCCCGATGAATATCCCACTGCTACTAAAGACATAGACGAGTTCAGTGACAAACAGGTAATTTCTGTTTCTTTTGAATTTTGTGAACACCACACACCTGTAACAATGTTAATAGAACATTAAGTAAAACATAGTCATGGAAGGGTGCCCTGTTCACTATCTCTGGAAGCGTTTAGATTTTAGACGTGGTGTACTTCTGAATTACAAAAATTTATATAGTTAATCCTTATATTTTGCAAATTGGACCTATACTCTTAAAAATAAATTTCATCAGGCAATTCCTCATCCACTAAATATTTCTTTTACCGACTGCGAGAGCTCAATTTCAGCTATCCATATATCTTTTCAAAAGTACGATCCGAAATCAGTTCTCTTATAATTTCAATAAAAATCCCACTGGAACAATCTAAACTTTTATCACTTTCAGGACGTCTTAGTTTTTTAAATAACATGATGTTATTGGTAATATGAGGGGTTAAATGTTAAATAATGTTTTATTACCTATAAGATTATGATCCACCATGCAATGCTGTGTATTCCATGCAATATTTTCTGTTTTCTTCCAGTCAAGTCTCTCACATGTGGTACCATTCCCTGAAACAGCAATATTTTGCTCATCTAGTCGCTCACATCAAGATATGTGAGTCAAATGTCTTAAGCAGAGTTTGGAAAAATGCTTTTCATCCGCCAAAAACATTACAATTTGATGCCGGTAAAAGTGGTTACCGTTTGAAGTCTGCCGGAAGCGTTCCGATGAAAAACATCCCCCCCCCCCTACTGGAACTAAACACCATACACCATTGACCCTTCGGGACAATCGAGTCTGGCCTGAGTAAAAAAAAAACAGTTACAACCTTGAGATTCCCAATTTCTCAGATAAGTAAGGGAAAGGTTGTTAAAAAGCATGATCGTAATGCCAATTATAATGTGAAAATCATAAGTCAATCTAGAAGAGTAGACACGAGAAACTTAATAACTTCATAATAACGAGTATGTGATAACCATTCTCAAAATCCCATTAGTCTTTATAGCGTTTAAAAGCCAATTTTGACAAAATAATGACAGCCAAGACAAGGGCAATAACTAATAACACAGAAAACTCGTCAATTTTGAGATATCAGCAGTACTGGGTTTCATTTAGCTTTCTAGGTACCAGCGAATATTCTGAATCGCGTAGAACTTGAAAGTTCTGAGGGACAAGTAATATATCCGGAGGGGTAATGATGCCCTGTGTTTACTTACAGTAATGGAATTGGTCGGTCGGTCGGTTTTGGTCGAGGGAGGGGGCAGGGGATGTTGGTAGGGGACTTGCCTTGTAGCTATGGGCCGGATTTGCCTGCCTACTGACAAAAAAGGGCAAGATTGAAGGTTTTGTTCACCATCTTTGGGGTTGATTTCAGTCTAGAATATAGGTAAATAGTCTTCAGAATTACTAGACCTGTACGAAAAGCGCATAATCCATTTAAAACTAGGAATTTTAATTCTTTTTTTTGTGTAAGGATAATTTTTGATTAACGAGTCGTCAATGTCATTAATAAAGAAAGCAAATTTTACTATTATCCGTTCCTTAGTCCAGAGTACGATTGAGCGCCATTTAAATGAACCATGACCGTTAACTTGAAATGAAAAAAAAATTTACATACAGAAAAATTGCTCAAAACACGAAGAGCTAGTGCGTATATAATGTGAACCGTTGATTTTTTCAGCACTCCAATCTATTCCAGTTATACTTCCCTTATGACCCTATAATAAAGATTTAAATTATAAATTTTTTGACAAGTTTTGGGCTGAGATGGTACATGTATAGTCTACCATTCGAGTCAACAGTCCACTTTACTTTGAAGTAGAATAAATAGTATTAGCATCTATGCAAATTGAAATTACAATATGTTGATTACTACTAAAACTACCTAAAATATAATGAACTGGTTGTGTTTTGAATCCGACCCAGATAAGCAGAAATATCTACAGTACAAACGCCAAGGATCGCCTTATTCGAGATATACGGCGATGACGATAATAATCTATGCAGAGATCTGTCATGAATTATATATTACTCTGTGTTGGTAGACTAGAAGATTTCCCAGCTGATGGAGCTATATATATTTATCACTTTTCGTCATGAAAATTGCACAGTGGCTTTTATGCAATAAATATACAAGAAAAAGCTTTGTTTGTTAGAACTAACCCGTTATGAACAAGACTTATAAAGTTATGTAGTTTAGTCAATATTCGGTTAATGTAAAAACTTCATGCACATTTCAAATCACTTAAAAGATGAAAAGCATCCAAAACACGTACCCAGCATTTTCCAATACATTGCCAACTTTCAACACCATTTGCATTGTCTCTATAGGCATAAACAATGACAGCACGTTCTCCACCACCTACAGCTATATACTTTTCATCTAAAAATATAAATATATGTAAAAGTCGCATTAAGTGTCAAATACCAGGGTATATTTTGAAGTATTTATCCACAGTCTAAAACTGGTTATTGTGTTTGAGAAAAATCTCAAATCGACAGTTTTCAAGAAAGATACATGCAAATGGAGCTAAACAAAAAACAAGGATAAAACCTATGGACTTTAATGGAAAAACAAGTATCATTTTAAATTTAACAAAAATTAATGAATGTGTTAAGAAGACATAAATTTATCACAGTGGCAAAAACTTCTTCGTTAATGTAATTTCAGGACAGTAAACCAATGAGTTGGGTAAGCTTAAAAATAAATGATGGTATGATAATAAACTCACCAGGCGACAAGGCCACTGCAGCAAGCTGATCTTGTGATATTTTTCTATGTAGAAGTTCATTTACAGAGAAGTTATCTGCATTCATTTCCATTATGACCAAACTGAAATGAAGTTGAGAATATCCTTTCAGTGACGTCTTTTCAGCTAGAAATGAGATTCACTCAGAAATGGATACAAGTTAGTGGGTTCTTTACATTGGCCAAATACATGTAATAAATCTTTATGGTGTTTCATAATTCCAATGAAACAATCAAGTTTGTGCAACGTTTTTCTCCAAGGTCACCAAGCACAAAATGGTAAAAAATGATAGGAAAATGTATATATAGTTTACCAGTCTGTGTCTGAGGACGACGGGCAAACACGTCGAAACGTTGAATAAACTTTAACCAGTGATTGTTCTTCCATAGAGCCGTGTCTATCTAAGGTGCATATGCACTATAAATTTTCATTCGTAGAATCTTTAACTATATCACCACCATCCTCTGATAGATTGTTTTAGAGGCCATCGGCTGGTATAGAGTCCGATAAGGCGGATTGTATTTATTGGATTTATAACCCGTATCTCAGAAGATGATGAGCTTTTGAGCCACCCAATTAACTTCTCCCAAATCTGTAGATACATCATCTTGCAGACCAATCAATTCGTAATTATAACGTCATCCATGTTACTTTATTCGACACGTTAAAGCAGACTTTTTCTTGAATTGTCGAACATTTTGAGGCACTTGCCTCCTTATTCAGATTCATCGCGTGATTAATCTGATCGCTTGATGACGTTAACTCATTCAAATAGAAATGTTTTCCTTTCTAATTACGAGATATGGAAATTGATATCACATGTATAGGACTTGGTTATTGTTATTTTAATTAAAGGGATTGTAAAGAGGTTTTATAAATTTTCCAAGTGATATCGCATATATTGCGATAAGTGACATCATCAACCACTTATTTTTTTGTGTAATTGCAGGAACCAACAGATGTTTGACTGACAATTGGATTGGTGAAAATCGATGCTATCGGTGTCCCGAATCAATCAAAACATATTCAATGTAAAGGCAAACATAATATCTATAGACAGAGAGGTCTGTCCCTATTATACTTACTGTCCATCTTGTGTTCCAAGACAAAGAAGTTTTCCATTGGTACCACAATCTGAGCACAGAAAAGTTGATCCCTTTAAAAGTAAAAAACATAGTGATAGCCCGCTAGTATGTTTCTATCTGTATATTTTTTGTAGTTAGAAGATTCCAGGGAAGATTACCTGTGGTAACTGGATTTCAATAAAGATTTATTATTATTATGTATTTTTATTTCGTGAAGGAGACCCCCCCCCCCTCCCCCTCCACCCTACCCTAAAATCTCTCCCATTTAGCTGAAAATCGATAATTTCATGCGGTGTAAATGTAAATATTTTTTGATAGTGTACAAAGTATCACAATTACTCTTACAAATGTTAGGTTGGGTTCAAGCAAGAAATAGTGGAATTAGAAACCTCACAAAACTGGACGTAAACATTTCACCTATTGGCTGTTTACAAACCAAAATAATATGTTTACCTTCATCACTAATTTCCACGCGGGTTCATGGGCGCTTGCATTAAATTTACATATGATCCCATCTGTACCAGCTGTCAAAAAATCAGCATCTAAAAATGATCTTAAAATTGGACACAATCCCTTTACGTTGTCAAAATGGCCCTGAAATATACATGTACATGGCATTAGCCATAAAATTAACTAACCATCCAACATATCCAAACTGTTGATGCAAAACCAACGAATGAAGTCACTGTCAAAGGAGTGAGAACTTGAAGTATTCTGAGTCAGAGATCTTTCTAACAACTGCTTCAGCTTCGATTCGCATTCCACAAGGGAGCTTTCCGAATCAAGCAGTTATCAAATGACTTGAAATGGAAAAAAAATGATCCGATGGAAACTACAACCAAAGTTCCATAGGCAGACTAGTCTTGGGTGGGTTTTTAGTATATGTTTGATATATTTCAACTAATTAAAGAGTGAAATTCATCGAAGAACTAACGATTGCAACAAAACGAAAATGCAAACGAGAGCAATCAGCAAGCAAAAATGGAAATACACCTCTTGGATTGGACTAATTGACAATATTTATGGTATACTTTTATGCTTGCCATATAAAACGCATGGGAGTTTAATGCCAAATTTTTAATATGATGATTCGTTCATAATCTTTGACCATACCTGTGTAATTGGTAAAGTGTCCATTTCCGGTGAATTTTCGACCAGATTATTGCGAACTTTGTTTGTCATTAAGATTGAATTCATAGTGGTTCCAATCAGAAGTAAATCTTCAAATATTTGAATCATTCGTATTCCACCTTCAGTTTTGGTCACCTGTTGAACAAAATAGCAGTCGTGAGTCTGTAAGATCGATATTTCAGTAAATAGGCATGACATACAATTACAACTAATGGCTAATTATTAATGAAGTGGTTGTCCATCCTTAGGAAGTGTAATTATAACGAGCCTGTTATTGAATGGATTTAGAGTGCACAGGTCTCAAAACGAAATGAAGGGCTGAAAGACAACATGATTTTTATACTGAGTTTTGTCATACTGTCGTCACATTTTTGTCCTTATGCCTCTTTCCAGTCGTCCATCTAACGGACACTTTTAGTTACCTTATCTATATGAGGCATTAGGTTGAACTAACCCAAGTTAAATTTCACAGCATTATTGATCATAATATATTTTTTTTTGCATAAATCCAAAATCGGAGAGTACTCGGCAGAATTGATTGTAGGAGTGTTGTATTGGTGCCCATCTATGTCAATCTTCTGTTTTTGGCCTAGGTCTTCATGTCAGGCGGTGTATAAATGCAAGAAGTACCAGATGATCCAGTCGCCTAGAGGGCCTCTAATGATCAACCCTGTTCACTGAATTACTATAGCATATTCTCAAGGCTGATGAATGTTCACTACTTAATTCTCGTCAATCGACTTCAAACTACACTGTGGAACATACGAACCTCTACTTGCCACATACTGTCCATATTTTTAGACCATTCCCAGCAGCATAAATAACCATCTCTTCCTCCAGTAAACAAGTTGTTCTTCAGCATCAACAATGTGAATATTGGTCCCTTGAAGTCAAGATAATGACGTATAAATGGCAAAATATATTCAGCAAATCAATTGAATTGCTCGAATATATAGATTATCGCAAAGGCTGATAAAGGTTTCTTTCCTGAGCCTTTCATCAATGGATCGCGTAAAAACAAGAGGTATTATGGTTTTGCTGCTTGTTATTTCTCTATATAACTATTACTTACATCATGGCCGTGTTTGACAAAGTTCGTTACTTTATTGCCACCGTTCCCCCAGATATATATGGTACCATTCGAGTCGCCTGTTATAAGATCGCCATTTTCATTATGACAGGCACATATTACAAATTTAGCTCTCAGATTGTTCTGCAATGAAAAAAAACAACATAAAACTTATGCATGCATTTATTCATACATCATATGAATATTTCTGATAAGGTATTTGTATATGGATATGAAAAAATATACCAACTTCATAATTTGCTTGTGAATATGGCAGGATAGTATTTGCATCTATTTTCCACCATGCATGATGTTCTTTACCCACAGTTACTACCATTTCAGGGTATTTGGCATTAAAACTTATATCACATATTACGTCGACTTGTATCTGAAAAGAACAAAATTGTATCAATTGCTTTTACTGTAGGCATTCAAATTGAATATTTATCAGGGCCATAACTAGGGTCTTTTTTCTATGAGGCAAAAATCAGTTATGTCTGGCTTGCGATAGTCTTCAAACAGTAACCACCTTTACCATAGATATCAAGTAAACAATATATTTAGTGGATATCATGTAAATATTTCTAATTTCTTTAAACAAAATTGAGTTTTTGTCAAATTCTGTGGTTACGACCCTGCTTATACGGCCATTTATAAGTTTGCTGTAGAAAAAAGACTGAAGATGCATACAGAATTATCTTTTCTAACTACTAGCTGACAAATTCTCTTGGCACAATGACAGTTTAATGAGCCTAGAATAGTCAAGGGTTATTAAATCTGTAAGAGATGACAAAGGCACAACATTGATAAGGTCCCTATTGTTTAGAGAGTGATAGTTATGGAAGGGTGGATTCGAACTGTAAGTATCAAACTCAAAGCAATTCAAGAAAGATCAATTCCATGTCTTAGTCAATGGCCTGTCTGTAGACGGGATCCCTGGGGACCTTAGTAGTTATCATTAAAACATGGTTGTTTCTATAATAAAATTTGAAAAATACCATAACAGATGCAATCTGAAAACCACCATTAGTATTCCAAATCGACAACCTCTTTTCTGTTCCGTTATCTACAGTTCCAAGTACATCCTATAAAAAAATAATTAGATCACATAATTATTGTAAGGTTCTAAAGACATTTTGTCTTTGATGATTTCAGATACTTGTATAGCCAGACAGAATAAAATTCATTAAATAAATGTATCTATGTTGGTGAAATGTCAAAGAGTTCATTTTGACATTTTTCTCATATAACATAATATATTTTAACTTCTACAAAAGCACGACTTTTCTGTCAAAAAATATGTCTTTATAACACAATCGCCGAAAATACAACCAGTAATTTTTGGGTGTAAACCGTACGTTAATATAAGCTTGTGATAGAAACAGTACCAGTCTACTTCACCAAGTACTTACCTGATTCTCTTGAAAAGATATAATTATCACAGCCTTTTGAAAAATACCATCACCAATTACACGTAGTGTTTGTAAATTATCAGCTCTCCAAATTCGAATATGTGCCTAAAGAGTCCAAAAAGAACTATGACTTAATGATTTTCGTTAAATGTAACTTTCGCAAAGACCAACGTTAGCGTGAATACACAATGGGCAGGTCGTTAGTGATAGTATCTGAAATAATGTTGTTCATGGCATTATTACTTCAATAGAAAATTGAAAGCCTGGTTTACACCGATCGCTGAAAAACTGATAGAACTTTTATTTCTCTTACCTGAATTTCTTTATTCTCTTTTGAGCATTGTTGTCCAGATGCGACTAGAAGACCGTCGTTGTGAATAGCGATGCTGAATTGAAAACAAATTGCAAAGTAATTGGTGATTTTTTGGATTGAAGGAGACCCTTCGCCTTTGGTTGTGTTTAATAAGCTAATGGTCTGTAAATGATACGAATTTAACTGGGAATAGTGCAAAACAGTTTGTCACAGTGTAAAATAGCTAAGCATTGTACAAAACAGTTGGGCATAGTTCAAAACAGTTGGGCATAGTTCAAAACAGTTGGGCATTGTACAAAACAGTTGGGCATAGTGCAAAACAGTTGAGCATAGTGTAAAACAGTTGAGCATAGTGTAAAACAGTTGGGCTTAGTGTAAAACAGTTGAGCATAGTGTAAAATAGTTGAGCATAGTGCAAAACAGTTTGTCATAGACAAAAACAGTTGGGCATATTGAAAAAAAGTTTGGCATAGTGAAAAACAGTTGGGCATAGTGCAAAACAGTTGGATATAGTGCAAAACAGTTGGGCATTGTGCAAAACAGTTAAGCATAGTGCAAAACAGTTGGGCATTGTGCAAAACAGTTAGGCATAGTACAAAACAGTTGGGCATTGTGCAAAACAGTTAGGCATAGTACAAAACAGTTGGGCATTGTGCAAAACAGTTAGACATAGTGAAAAACAGTTGGGCATTGTGCAAAACAGTTGGGTATAGTGAAAAATAGTAATAAATGTACAGCACTTTTGACGTATCGAAGAGACGATGACAGAAACAAATGCCTTTGTTAATTATCTCAAAATTTGCTGTCATGAAATTTATATTCCCGAATGCCTTTCACTGGTGAATAATGTAATGATCCTATACTACCAACCTCTTGACTTCTGAAGTGTGTTCTGTGTAGTGCCTTTGAGTGTGTGAACTTCTTCTGTACAACACTACTATATTGGAGATGAAATACACGATATCTTTACCATCTGATACGTAAATGTTATTTCTACAGTCGTTACCTCTATAACCATACCTACAAAATACATATTTAAATTTATTAAAAGCTTATCGTAACAATTTAAGATTGGTTCAGAAATTCAAACGAAATCTAAATACCAAGCAACAATATTTTTCAACATATATGTGATTACCACATCCTAAGAATCATTAACTACAACCATTGCAATAAGTTGCTATAGTATGGTTAGATTTGTAAACTTTATCGATTAACGTTACTTATTCGCACGAAGAGATAACTATTTTTTGTTAAAGATAAACAATATTTGAATTAAATGACTGCAGGCAATCTACTTTAACTGTAACCATATATTATTTTAGTATTGTCAATAATTTTTCTATATTGTTGTAGCGTTAAATCCGTATTGATGATCTAAATTAACATATTCACTTATTCCCCCTTGATCATAACAGATGGATGGAGTTTTACGCTCTACTTTTCTGCATCTTGTGGGCAAGTGAAATTTCGCCAGGACAGGGGCATTAGCCTGCTCTTTTTCCATTTCCAACAGTCGAAGGATCTTTAACGTGCACAGCATGTTGCGCATGGGGCCCCGGTTTATTGTCCTATCCAAACGACTAGACGCTTTATCCATGTCAGCCCCTCAGAACCCTGGACCTTCAGGTTAGCGAGCAAGCGTTTAACTCACTGAGCCAACAAGGTCCTTTATCATTACAGGAAGATTATACAAGATAGCGGGCCATAACGATACTTACACCCATTCCAACTGCATACTCTCCCTGGGATAGTCTATGAAGCCAACTGATTCGCTTAACCCTTCAGGTCGGTTGACTGTCAATAACTTTCCATTCACATTGAATTGCATCTTTTCAGTTTCTGGATAATCTGAGCTGTTTATTTCATTCTCTTTTGCTACAAAAGTTTGAAGAATATGAATATACATCTTTTTATCATTAAATCGTTCTGAATGGAAAGGACTCTTGCTTGAATCTGACCTTATCTTAACATGAAGTGCCAAATAGGTGCCCCGTGCAATAGAGGTCATATTTTGCATAGGCGAAAATGGCTGAAGTAATATATTAAGTCGGTTAATCAAATTTTACCATTTATTTCTTATGGGATTGGAATATCATTTTCATAATAGTAATGATAGACTATAAAAAGGGGCACATATAAATTTATTTCCACAGTGAACAATTTTTATCTAAGGTTTAGGACAGTTTCTGTTGAAATAAACGTAGAACTGCTTTTGTATACCTGTCATCTCGTTCAGATCTGCTTTCCGTTGATTTGCTATGACAGTCTTTTCCCTTTGTATTGTTGCCTTGAATTAAAACACATTAATTATGAAGACATATCTGTCATAAAGGAAGCACAACGCACGACCTAAGTTTCTTCATGGGAACGTTTTCTTTGTGGCAGTGGTTCCCAACCTTTTTCAGCCTTCAAACCCCTGGAGCAATCACGTGGACCTTTCACACCCCCAAAAATTTGCATCATGTGATGATGTGAGGTGCTCTCTCTTTTAATGAGTGATAGATAACCTCAAGACGCATGGAAAGATTTCCGGTCTTAGGCTTACCTTTCTGATCAGTTGAGAAACAATTTTGGTTTTAGCACTGCTTGATAATTCATCAACCACATCTGGATTGGCAACATTCTTCTCCTTTGCATTATTTTGTATTTGGGAAAGCGCCGGATTTTTCTTCAACGCTTGCTCTTGTGATCTCTTTAGAATCTGTATGAAATCTGGCCAGCTAAAATTGATAAAAGAATTGATCAAATTGTCCAATTGGGTGTTATAAAATGGCCCTCTATCGCATATAAAGGTAAAGAATTACAGAGCATTAAAACAAAGCCGGAAGAAGACAAACGATCATATTAGAAAAAAGGTGTCTGATGCAAAATCCACAGTATATGTTCGGGATGTTCACCCCTGTCCACATGCATATCAAGACAATAAGAACACATTGTGGTCTTCCTTTTTTTGCATCATACAACTAAACAATATCGTACAGTATGACAATGCATATTGGCAATCTTCCTCAGTGCTGTAAATGCATATAGCCCAAGGTGTAAAATGTAAATATGATCTCTAAACACAGTCTCACCAGCAATTATTCTTTCCATCGCTGCAGAAGTTAATCAATAGTTTTAATAATGCACCATAAACCGGTAACTTTATTTCCGTACAATACTGCAGAACCTATAAATCAAATCAGTTTGCTTTAGTGCCAGTTGATTAGTCGCCCCAAAATACACGACAATATTGGAGAAAAATTCAATATAATGTCGATTGACATAGACGCAGATGATCAATCCAGGATATTAGTAACATTTTGATGTGAAACTAACAGTTTTTTCCCTTTTGTATTGGTGCTTTTAATAATAACACAAAACAATTATGAAGAGAAATGTCTGTCAGAAGGGAAGAATAACGCACATTGGCACGTTTTCTTCAATATGAGACAAAGTATCGACTTGGTCACATGAAAATCCAATTTCCTTATCAGAAAATCTGACATGATTATCTCAAGAGTAATTTTGACTTGGTGCCGAAACCTTTCTGCCAAAATTGTTAGAAAGCACTTTTCGATGTCCAATATTTCATCGATCGCAAACAGCATTCATAATATAGCCTACGACGTTCCAGAACGGATTTGGCAATTCCGGAGCAGATGCAATCTCGGAGTAATGACTCCAAGATGCAGTGGAATAAAATTAATATTTTTTCAAGAGCAAAATAAGTTGTAATAAGTGTCTATAAAATTGGGCGAAAATCTAAATTTATACTTTTTTCTCTAGTGCAGTAGTTTCGAATTGAGGGTTTTAACTCTGAAAGACTATACTAACCAAGTCTTTTTGGATTTTTCCACTTTTATCGGGATCTAAATTATCAAATGCTTCCTGTACACCCGCAATATCAAAATATACTTCTCTTTGAAGGAGAAAATTTTCAAGACGGACTAAAATTATTTCTCTACGATTACCCTGCAATTGAGCAACTTTTTTCATTTTCCTCTGATCTGAAACGAATGGATTGAGAGTAAGTACACCAGCAAATTATTAATCTTATATCATCTTGGTTTAACTTATTGTTAATTTCTTGTGGTTGTTAATAAAACTCTCTTTAACGCCGTCTCTTTTAATGCTTGCATTTATATGATTTGAGAAATTGAAAATTAATAGCAAAATTCAACGAAGAGACATATCCAATATTCAATAAAATCATAAAATATTGAATCAGTGAAATATAGCACATTTTACTATAGTGAACACCGGATTAACGGGAATTTTACATAGTATATATTTCGTTCCCAATAAAAAGCGTGCGGATATCGGGGTATCGGCAACCGGATAAACGCGGCTCAAATGTACCTGATATCCTTATTTGTAACAACAAATATGGACAGAATGTTGGGGCCAGTTTCGAGATCTGATGGATTAATATAGCTCACTTAAATCATTTTTCCAGATTGACTAACTGATGATTGGAAGCAATTTTTGAGAAACTAGCTCCAAAGATACGATTTTGAACTTACAAGCCCATCATTCTATTAACGATGCAACTTGCGCAAAATATTCAAGGCATCTCTTTATAGTAAGATATAGTTACCCATTCCATCTTTACATTGGTTCAATTTTTTATACATCCGTTCAAAATCAATTCCATGAACGTCTTCAAATGATTCTAAAATAACTTGCGTGTGGCGGGGAGACAAAGTTACATGGTTTTCCTGTAAACAGTGAACTAAATTGAGCCCAATTGAATAGCATTGTCTAAAGTGATATCGTCTAGTTGAGTTTCCTTTATCAATAGTGCCAGGGCCTAAAACAATATCCCAGAACGTTCTTGGCATTGTTGCCACTGTGATCGTAAGATATATGACCAAAGATAGTTATCTTTCATCTGATTATGGTACTAAAATCGATGAAGATATACAATTTGGTAAATTGCCTTAAGTTAATCTGAAATAAGTTGGTGACACGTTTAATTTAAAAAACGTTATGTTGGTACATATACCTTATAGTTTTCTTTAAGTTTTCATTTCAATGTACACCATATTACCCAAAGTCACCATATTCTGTCTCTTACCTCGAAAGCATGCTGTAAATCCTTCAGACTGATTCGCAGTTCTACAGACCCATATCTTCTCAAACTCATATGAATGGCTCTAAGCCGCTGTCGACTTGTATTGGTCAGCTCATTTTTGAACAATTGGAACAATTTGATATTTTCTTCGTTTTGGAAATCCATATTTAAATATTTCTGAAATGGAATTCGCTCGTATGTTTAAGGATTAGGATGTGAATTCGGGGTTGGCTGATACAGTACTTTCTTTACCAGTGCAGAAGGACCAAGCGAAGCACAAAACGAAAATAGGCTACTTTCACAGTATGATTAATGTAAATGAACCGAAGCATTACATTTCCTCTGCTGGCTGGGCTAGAGAAAACGAACAAGGCTATGCAACGTGATATGACGACAATTTTTCAGGACAATGGCATTGGTATTCGGGTGTAAAGCACTGACCAAGATTACAGAGCAATATATAAGCTTATTTATTACATGACAATGAGAGACGCTAGTATGATTTTAGTTTAAAATACACACATAAATATACTACAAAAAGCAATGACACCAGTCTTGAATATTTCGGATATTTCTAACTTTGAATCGATTGGTGTACTCTTTGTCGATTTAACTGTCCAGGGATCTTTGGACCTTGTAATTCACAATGTCTCGGTTTGTTTGAAGAGCTATATAGAACTATTACAATTGATCCTGAGATACATTATCACTCCGTATTTTTCCCTAAGCATGATTTGAATATGATGTCCCGTCAACAGTACAAATATCCCGTTAAAATGACTAAAATTTAGTGTTTAGTATTCTTACCTTTGCTCCAGTAGTCAAGTACCGTAATTTACTGGTATCAATTCAAATAGTTATTCAGTCCATAACAATAATCATGTAGCTTCCATAGCAACTAACAATTTAGATCACAGATCTACTGTAATGATCGATTTCATACTTTCTATAATGAAACGACGTTTACATAAAATATCAATAAAATCTATTTTTATTGCATTGAGACTCCGACTAGCTGGTAAACAAACAATTTAGAACGTAGGAGATGTCTAGATAGATTGCATGATTACATTAATTTATGCGCATATTTGATTTTTCTGAAAATTTCTTGAATTATTATCGGGGTCACTTAAGGGGATTGTAAATAATTTTTTTAATTTTTGTGTATTGGGGACGCTGAAATATACATTTTCACCATTCAATTTTCAGTCTGTGTGTTGGTGTACAATTCCACAAAAAATAAGTGTTTGATGACGTCACTCATCGTAAAATATGTTTGTATCACATAAGGCCCATCGCTTAACAGTTAGTTTAGTGGAATTACAGGAACCACAGACGTGTGGCAAAACTGGAATGGTGCAATTTGATGCTATCAGTGTACTCGGAAAAAGTTTAGAAATCCTCTTTACAATCCTAAAGAAGATATAGTATTCTACATGTTTGCTTTCCCAGCGCTCAATCTCGGCTGTCCGATTCAGCTTTCATCGCAGAGTCGCAGATCTTGGACTGGAAATCAAAATTGTGCAAATACATGCTGGAAGTGTCTGCTATAAACCTAACACCTTTAATTAAACATAAGTGGGAATTATCGATTTTCACGGAGTTAAATGATTAAAATTTGCTTCGCACATATGGTTTTTAAAGTGGACGAGCTGTTGTTATTATGTGATGTCACGTGATTTTCAAACTGGCCAATTTACATGCTTCTACGTATCCATTTCTATGATTTGTTTTGTAATATAAACACAGGCACGAAAATCATGAACTATATTGGAGTACTATCAACCTCTCTTTAAGACCAATTTAAGTAATATACGTAGTATACGACAATGAACTGAATTGAACTTGTTGATGTCGAACATGTCTACTTTTATTTATTGCTTTGTTTTGTTATACAAGGTTAGACATTCTAGGCTTTAAGGGTACCATATTTTTCAATTCATAAATCTTAATAGTGTCACAATTTGACTGATGATAGTGTTAAGGCGCTTCTTTGGATTAGTTACTCTTCGTGATATTCAAATCAAATCTAAATTTCCAAATATATCATCATATTGTAAAGCAATACGTCACTACAGTACGTGATAGTCACAAGGTGTCGTAGTTATGTTACGTTTCACTTTGAGATGCTGACAAGTTCGGTTAGACTAACGTTATGCATATAGAACGAATTAGTAATGAAACTCCCTCAGTCTATCACGTTTTCTCTTTGAATTTTTCTGTATGTACTGTTTTAATTTTTTATTTCAAAAACTGTATGACAAGCCTTTTAGAAGACGACATCGCAGCAAACACATGAGTATCAAATGCTCTGTGACCTAGGTCAGAGATTTCAAAGAGATTGATCTCAATACATTATGAATGTACATAATCCCGGCATAGGTGGAGATAATTGATGTCATTGTTGCAGATCGGATGGGCTGCCATGGAATACACGTCTATGGGCTCGGATCCGACCATTAACCGAGGCCCGTATACTACAGATTGGAAGTTTGTAAATTGGTTAGGTTTGGTTAGAGGAAAAGACCAATTTTTTCAACATCTGAATAATATATAGGTTAATGAGTTTATTAACTCGGCTTCCCCCTATGTTGTTTGTCTGGTACACATGTTATAGAAATATATAACTCGTTTTATTCGTTCCTCATCTTTCTTTTAATTTTATGATTGATTATACCATATGTTGACATATATATGAGATATATATAAACTGTGCTTGCAAAGGACGGTAACCTATACCTACGATAGCCATTTCAAATTATTATTCCATTTTTTGGGTACCAACACAAGGTAATACAATGGAAAACCTATTACATATAATAATTATAGTAATTTGTAATGTCGTCAAGTTTTCAATTTCGACAAAAACTCACCAATTGTTGCAATCGGCTCAAATTGGTATTTGACCCTAAGTTTAATATCATTATGCAGTTATTCCAAGTTTTGTCAGAAAATTGGAATTTGAAAATGTTTAGTATTTTTTACTTTGGCAAAACGCTAAAATCGGATGATCGAATTATATGATTGTACGAAAAAAATTCCGCGATGGGCATAATGTGATGTGGACTTCAATGACCCCATCGGCGACAGCGAGAAGACGAACTATATATATATATCAGGACAGTTATTTGATTCTCATGATTAGTTACTACTGGTCAGTATAATTGCGCTTCTTCAGCTGATACGATTTTCAGACAAACGTAACGTTTCCTTAATCTGAAAAAATTGAGATGAGAAACATATCCAGAGGCTCCCTTACAAAGACAAGTCCTATTTCTTATATGGGGATTGAAACAAAACCCTGTTTATGTAATTGTAAACTGAGACTTTGCCCTTCAAACTCCAACCAAATTTGCTGTAATTTTAGAATTGCTTTGCCTCCCCTGTAACAATTTTGTGAACCCTACTCGACCCTCACCTAATGAATCAAATGTTTGATAAATCTATAAAATGTCTCAAGGAAAGCGGAAACGAATCACCGTGTTTCTATTAAGATGAATTCGCGAACTTACCTTCAACTCTCTGAGCATCTTCACAATGTCAAGCTATTACGAACTTAGTTTTATACCTTGACTATAATAGCCACATAGCTTCTTGTATCAAGGAATACAGCGATATGATTGACTTGTACACTTGCGAATACAGCCAATCAGAGCCCGAGACAGAAAGAGCATAAAAATTATGGCACTGTATTAACAAACTTCTGTGATACAAGAAATGATACAGTCAAGGTATAAGACAAAGGTCGTAAGAGCTTGACATTATGAAGAGGCTGACTGAGTAATGTTGAAGTTTTGTGTGATGGATTCCTTACTGTGGTCATCATTTATCATTAAGGTTTTTTATGTTGGGATTATTTAGTACTAATTTCAACTATTCAACTCTATACTAAGTCACTGTTCTTCCTTAAACAATTGCGTCTTTATCTGGATGAGATGAAATCGTGTAGAGCTGATGACGTAAGTGGTTATATCTGAATGGGAAAATGTTAATAACGTCTGGAAGAGACAAAAGTCTTATTTTCCGGTGCTCTTTTTTGCCTCATTGAAAAAGTCTGGAAAAATATACGAAAGGGGTCTCCAACATGAAAAAAGTAGCAAGGAAAAGCGAAGCGAAAATCACGAGGTTTTATATGGGGTATGGGGATAGATAATACAACCGATCAAGAATCCCGAAAGGGGTAATAGAAAGAAAAAGATTGAAACATTTGTCTTAAGCTATAGGAAAATCACAACAAATACTTTACAACAGTTTCATTTCGACTTTTTCCACTCAATCCGAGCAGTGGCGGCGCCACCCTCCCGAGACTGGGGGCACAAATAGGGCACACTGACATAATGAGGGGACATCTGCTGATGTTGAATTCAAAATGTGACAGCTCTGTGGAAGCGACAAGAGCATACAACTGAACACCTGAAAGAGTGAAGGAGAAACTTTCGGAAAATAGAATTGATTTGGTGACTTCTGAAACATATTTTGGAGCAAAATCGTCTTTGATGGGGGTTCAAATGGGGGTACAAACCATCTTTATTGGGGGACCCCCTTGTACCCTCACTAGCGCCGCCACTAGATCCAAGATTCTTCAATGAATGTCAGATGTCAAATTTTTGACACTACTTCGAATTATGTACATTATAAATGATATAATATGCTGTCGTGAAATATGCGTTATTACAGTCGACTCAGCTGTAAATAGGTACGACATATAATCCGAGAGCGACCAATGCCAAGAGCTTTGGCCAAGGACCAGCTGGTAGAAACGATCCTCGTGAATTTAAGTTGAATTCCTTTTAAAACATTGTTATCTCTTTCTTCGTTAAATTCCTGATTGCTGTCGTTGGCGTATGTTATATAGTCTGGCAAAGAAACTTTAACGTTTCTATGTATATTTAGCCTAATATGTCACGCTTTTTATGTTCACGTCAAAGGATCACCGTTCGTAATAAATAAAAGTCTTGACAGTCAGAGTTGTCCCTTGGGGTCATATGACGTATAACAAAAGAAGTTAACAGTTCAAGTAATATAAGGCGACATAAACTAAATTGTAACAAGAAAGGACAGATACCAAATTTTCGAACATGATGTGGAACTATTTTGTAACGTGTATAGTGCTATGTAAGTATAACCAGAACAGTCTTGATGAAATTAACAATGGTATTAACGAACCTATTATACGCATATGTGCATATTGTTTCTGTTAATTTGTTAAATTTATCAATTATTTGAGGGGGAATATGGTCGATTGACTCGGAGCATATGATCGGATCAGTCGCAGTCGACATGAGCGTCGTTAAAGGGACAAATCTCAGAAACGGGAATTCTCTAGCTAAGCTAGAAATATATAGAAATAGAAAGTTATTTTTTAAGAAAATTTGTTTATGCGATTTGTTTTACATTTCTAGTACTTCTGAAGACTATTTATATATATTCAAGAACCCCCCACCCCCACTCTAAATGGCGAACTGTCTCATTTACGAATGGTTGACTATCAGCAACTGCGATCAAATGAATGGTTGCAGAATTCGACCACTAATGTCGACGACACGATCCATTTTGTTAGAGAGTTGACCACAACTGTCGACAATTGCGATTTTTCAGCCGTCGGGACTTTCAGGTTTACTAAATCCATCAAAACTCCCATGCAGATTGTTGCAAGGTCGACCAAACGACATCCCTTTGATTAGCCATCATTTCCGGCAGTTTGGTTAATGTTAATTTTATTCTAATTATGGAAAACGTGATTTAAACTTTCGAAGCTGTCACATTGCATCTGCTCTACATAATGTATATTCATTGTGACATACACTGAATCAACGTCAAGAGGACAGACCAATTAATTTAATTTTGGAACACATTATACCAATTTTTTGAATAATTTGAATAACTTTTTTGTAATCATTAGGCCTTTTTGTCGATCCTTTTCAATTACTAATGAACACAACAGAAGACAATACGCATATTAAGGTTTGGATAAAACTTGGAGAAATTGTCTAAATCTCACAACAAGTGACCCTACCGATAATTTTATATTCAAATTTCGCAAACACAAGACGGTGCAGATCTTAATGGAAAATGGCTCATAATCAGATATAGGTAAACTCTCCGGAAATCAAAAGGTATTCGACGTCAGTTTTTCGATTCGTAGCTTCTAAATTTTCTAGATATCATAATTCTTGGCAGGCTTTATAAAAACTAGTCCAAATGTTCTATTATCAATCTATGATGAACCCTTGCAAATTTGAGAACATCGAAAAATATGTGAGTTATGTCCCTTGTTATGTGAAAATTGTGTAAATAAAGTCAAAAGGGAAGAAACAAACCTTCCAGAGCCTCGTTCCTGAAAAAAAATGTGTATTTCTCTATGTAGAATTCTACACTAACGACCAAGATTTTTTTAAAGGAACCTGGCTCTGCTAAACTTTACCAGAATAGTATTCATTTGATTATTCTGTGCTGTCAAAGATTACTGAATACCAGTATTTAGTGGAATGGTCTCTTAAAGCACCCTTGAGTAGTTTAAGCTGTTTCAACTCTATATAAAATAATTATTTTATTTTATTTATATTTCAGATGCCAACATCATCAGCATACGTAAGTAGTTATATAGATATAGGCTATTTTATTTGCATATTTTCAAATTTTCATAGTTACGTCACTTGTGATAGAAGTAACCTTATGAAGTATGCAATTCTTGACAAGTTTTGTACGTGGTTTCACCTCACTGCTTACATACAGAATAGACTTTAAATTGTTACACAAAAAGATAGAAACAGTGGCGGCGCAAGTGTGAGAAGAGTGAAAATGGTTTGCAGCCGATTTGTATCCCCACCATTTTTGAAAAATTAAGAAAACATGATTTGTATACGTTGTCCCCTCATCGAGACGGTCAGTCCTCTATTTGTACCCCTAGTCTCGAGAGGCTGGATAGAAATAACTCTTTTACTAGCATAATATCACAAAATTGATTGTAAAATAATAATTGTAAAGTTATTATTGTATTTTGATTCAAAATAATGCAAATCTTGTCTCTTTCAGATACATTCGGTCTTACCGGCGGAAGTAAGTATGATTTTACATCTGTACTGTGTCATTATCTTTATTATAAACCAATGCTTTGAATTATGTTACAATATATAAGCCTTAGATTTTTTAGACAATACATATCTAAGAAATGGAATCCAAAATAATGATGAATTTTAAACATTTTTCAGATAATTTGAACCAGGCCCTTGGACTTACTGGCGGAAGTAAGTATAATGTCAATTTCTTGGAAAATTATAGAATATTTTCAGTTAAAGATGGGTTTCCTTATTTTTTAATGTCAATATAAGCAAACTATTTGATTAATTGGTGTTTCTAATGAATTATCATTTATTCTTAATCATATCATAATGTTCTTAATGCGTATAATTAAGAGTTTTAACAAATCATATATGTCCATGTATGTACAGTCTGGATAAACAAAAAAATACTTTTTGACCTTTGTTGATTGGTCATTCATTGGAATACTTCTGGTAATTCTCTTCTAATTGAGCTAATTATGAATTTATTATGGACATGTGAGACAGACTGGTATTTGTTGAAATCATTAGAACACATCTACTTTCTATTCATATAAGTATTGACATTTTCGATCATAAATGAAAATAAGGGAATCCATCTTCATATTAAGGAAAAGATTTAAAAGCTTCTCTTTACTAGTAATACCGACCAGTATATAAAAATTCTTGACAAAACGTCCAAACCTATCATCAATGAATTATGAAATGCAATCTCATCTATATACGCAAGTGTTCTACAGATCATCAAAATCCTTGTAAGCAAGCCAATGTAAATATAGGTACGAATAGAAATCAAAGAACATGAATTAGATACCGAATTTTTAACATTTTCAGATCCACTGGACTCGACCCTTGGACTATCTGCCGGAAGTAAGTACAACAATCATCTTTACATAAGGTTAACTGTCAAGATAATACTTGGTCTGCAAATGCCCTATTGCAATCATACTCATTCCTATTTGTCTCCATTCGCTTCAGTAACCTTTGCGCCCCTTCTGAACTACCAAAACGGGTTTGTTTGGCGATTCTAGATATACCCTGCCTCCCATGTAGTTAATATGCCTCCCAATTTTACCGAAATAAGCAACCAATGTACATCTTTGGAACCTACAACCATGGTCTCAACCATTGGAAACTCAATGGCTAATTGACCGGATATTGTCGTTCGTAGACAAAATCAGAATCATCGATACGAACATTTCTAGATTATAGTGTTAAATGTACATTCTGTGGTTTGATTGCGTATAACATCGACTCGTACCCATTATTTATCTGAAAATTCGCTATCTTTCAGATGCATTTCCATCAGGCATGGGCGCGATGCAGATTCCAGCATACTTAAGAATGGGTAAGTTTATTCACAAATTTCAACTCTGAGGTCGCAATCTATCTGCATGGTCCAGATATTTTCAAGCTCTGTTGATATGTGTTCGTCAAAATGTTACTCATACAACATTGCATGCGGAGTCGTCAATCCAATAATTGCTTAAAATGAATCTATTGTCAAAATTATGTTTGAAATACGACACAACACTCGGTACAACAACGTGATTGACCATGATGCATTGAACTAACGAATTATTGTTAATATGCTGAAATTAGAACATGTGATGCAAATTGAATAAGTCATAGATGTATATTGGCAAAACGATTAATGGCATGAAAAATAACAACTACACCTTTGTGTTAAGCGTTGCAAAGCGTTTTTATGGTTTATTGGTGTTTTGTATGGAACTGATCAAACACTGCCAATTGTAACATTTTGGATTTTGGCGTGTAATGTCAATAGGTGATGCGTGGCAAAACGTTTTATGAAATTTTGATTGAAATAGCCAAGATATAATTATCCTCCTTCGTTGACAAAGGCGAAAATTGGACTGCAGTACGAAGCACAACTTAGCAAATTTTTGACTAGAAATCGAGAATCGTGTCTATATGAACTGGCGCATCACGTAAAAGCACAATCAAAATCTATCACTCAATCAATCACAGCCGATATAATATGTCAAGAATTTCACATATTATTACAATATTATGAAGCTTGTTACAATGGGTTCTTTATGTTGAAAAATGATTTGTGTGAAGATTTTTGACAAGTGTGATTTTCTTCTAACTTTATTCGTTTTTTGATTCATGATTTATGTTTCTAGACACACGAATTTTATTTTTTTATGAGACGCCTGGATAAGGATTTTATTCATTTTATTTTTTCAGCTCCATCCGTTGAAAGTGAGTAATATAGTTATTTGCTGTCACTTCCGATTTTTGTAACGTGAATAGTTATCACGGAAAATTGAAGTTCCATTTGTTGGCACTATTATGACCATCAAGGCGATACAGGCGCCCTACTGTTACTTTAGTTTTTACTTTAGCATCCCTTTTACCTTCTGCACAATGTCAAGCCATTGCGAATTTCTTACTTATACCTTGAGTGCAATAGCCACCTTTCTTCTTTCATAGAAATTTGTAAATGAAGCGATTTGATTGGATCGTATGCTACCGAATACAGCCAATGGGAGGTCTTTACAGAAAGCCATACTGTTAACAGTCTTTTTGTCGAGGGCTCTTGTTGGCTGTATTGATTACATTGCATTTATTACACCGATAGCCCGGTGAATGTGGTTGTTCTGTGGCCAGCAATGGTTAAACCAGACACTTCATTGAATTTACGCTCACCAGATGAGTATTGCGGTGGTGGGACCAATCACACTCACTGTTGCACCAGATGTTACGCTGCGAATGAGTTTGTCAATTCGACAACCTTACAGATGGTCTGCATACCTTATATTGTTTATTTGGTATATTTATTTTATGACCAGTAGTCCTACATTTGAACATGGCATTAAAACAAGTTCTTTTTACATTAAAACAATATTTACCCTTTTCTTTTTATATAGCAATTTGTTCAACCCAAAGTCCATGTAAGTAGTTTTCAAACTTTTCAGTACAAACAATAAACATATCTTAAAAATAAAAACTGGCAAACATTTGCTTTCATTTTGCAAAATTTATAGTTACTAAGGCGATGTAAAGTAAATCCATTTGGCACATCCCAAAGGTGTTTTTCCTAATATCTTAATATGAATCATGGTCATTTGACCATATGATGGCATCATTTTAGAAATTTTTATCTTGCGAAGTTGCTCTGGAATTGCCAAAGACTAACGTCCCAGATACACAGCCTGAATTAACATTTTTGAAACCTTTTAGAGCAGGGGTTTTCAACCTTTGTCTTTTCCTTACCCCTTTCATGATTATTGATCGATTGCATAATCCCATTTCTCCCAATAAATCCTTTCTATTTCGTGATTTTCTCTTAGGTTTACCCTGCAATGTTTTTATGTCTGAGAATGTTATTAAGAATCATATTTGATCGTGACATACAGTTTATAGTATTGTTATTATAAAATGGATTGATTCAATAAATCATATAAATTGAATATTATTTTTCAGTATTAAATCCCCGGGAGCGAAATGGATTACTTTGTAAGTAATGATGATATTTAGTTTTTGGCATAATATATAAAACCAAATAAAGCTTTAGGGCTGTCATAGCGTTAAAATCTTGACGTTATTGGTAACGTCGAACAAATACCAAGCAACAATACGAAACAACCATATTTTACAAGGATAATCACTAAGGTTCACAGTTACAAATCATTTCTACCAGTTGTTTCTTGAACAAACCTTTTGGCTTGGATCTTTCTCGGATTATCTCGGCAATTATCATTTATAGCCGGGTCGACTGGAACTACGAGTGAGGATAACTTATTCAAGGTCATCGGACTTTCACACGAAATTAGAACCCACAGACGTCATTTGTTCAAGTAACCATGCAAGTCATGTCATGTAAAGAAATTCCGCTCTCACTCACTCTGCTAAAGAACAATGGTGATTGTGTTTACCTCATTCTTAATTGTTAACCATACACAAGTGTATTATTTATTCATTTATTAATTCTTCAGCTGATCTGGTTGGTAAAGAAATTTCAAGACGATCACGATGTAAGTAAATTGTTTCGTTGTTTAGTTTGTTGTTCGGTAGGATTAAGACCCATCAACAAGGTTCTCACATTGTTTGAAATGTTCACCTAGTCCAACCACAATAGCAGCGGGTTACATCAAGCGTTAATCTTTAATTTTGTTTATTTGTAGTTTTGGCAGCTAATCCTAGTTTGGCTGGAACAGGAAAATGGGCATGTAAGTTGATTTGATTATTTAGTTCAAATTAACAATATTAAAACTGAACTTGAAACACGTTAATCAGAGTTTCATGCTGAGCTATCTTCAAACAACTGATCTATTTGAGCTTGTCTCTGTACATCAAGTTATTCTATTAAATGAATATTAAATAGGTTTTTCTAAAATTTGTATGTGTACCGGGGACACTGATAGCATCTATTTTACTATTCCAATTTTCGTGGTGCTATTAGTGTCCCTGAAAATTTAGAATACCTCTTTACAATCCCTTTCAACTCCATGGTAATATATCTCTTCAGGTGCTGCCAATTACTACAGTAATGTTATGAGATACAGTAAGTATTTTTCACCTTCCTTACGTCGGACCTTATGGCTTGGTCATTTTTCACCATTTAACTTAAGGCTAGAACCCTTTTCACCATTATTACTTTGAGGCTAGACCATTTTCACCATTGTTTTGTTTGATTGTAACGCTTGATGTGACTTTTAATGTTAATGATAAACAGAAAGCCAGTACAGTTTTCTGTCTCATTAGCACATATCCATATTTAAATTTACAAGCGTAATTTGTTTACTTTTCAGGACCTAACGAGCTCGGTAAGCGTTTATGATCATCTAATGAAGATTAATCTATCTGTGTTCCTAATGGTTGAACTCATCTGATTTCAAGGCATCATACTCAAATGAATATAGATGGCTGTTGATAGTTGATTTAGGCTCCAGCATCGCATCGAATGTGTCGCAATAAATATGATCGAAGTGACCAAAACGGGAAGTTGACTTTTAGTAACTCAACTGGTTGGATGTAGATTCCTGCTGGGCAGGTCGAGACAAGAATATCCAAAGAATATAAGCTGGTGACAAGCTGAAACAACTGCGTTTTCAGGACCCTGGTTCGCCAATGTCGACTAAATCCCGGGATTGATAAGATTTTCCAGATGACCCTAGAAGTCGTTGAAATTCCAGTTGGCTTCAGATTATGCAAGCTTCCACTTTGTGCTTTATATTGTTTACAAATCCTAATATCTCGTCTAACCTTCAAACGTAAACCCTTAACATTATGAAAACGTTAGGATCTTAACAATTTTTAGATGAAATCAGGCAAATGTAAGGGTCTTACAATAGTGAAAGATCTGTGTCCATGTCACTAAAGATCTGTTCAGAAAGAATTTGTTTTCAATTCTTAAATTTCGGGGAATGAATTCCCCCATTTCTCCGATGTCTAGGTATGGATTTCATGTAGAGTAATTGACCTTTGACATACAACTAATGATGTTATTGCAATACATGACAATGGGATCATTTGTAATATTAAATGCCTGAAGCTATCCAGACTGATTTTGTTAATTACATCTTATACTACTTGAAAATAATGTATATTGCTCTTGTTTATGGTTTGAAACGTTCTTGAATGTGAATAAAAAACATTAGCGTGACTGTACAACAATATCTTTTTCAGGAAATGTTTTCGGTGACTTGATAGATTCAAGTAAGTATCCCACTATCATATTTTACTAAATTTAACCCTTCTTAATGGGTTGGATATTCTGGCATTCATCATCAAAGTTTAAAATGTACTAGTAAACTTCCTTAACCGGAAGCCATATTCGTTCCTGGTGTTGCATTTCAACCAGTGGTTCTTTATGAATAGCGTAGTTGGTCATTTTGGTCATTTTGTGCCCAATCTCTGTTAGATAAGATTTGCAAATGGGATAATTCGTCCACGCACACGGTCCTGTCATAATAATATCACTGCATTTTTCTAAAGGGTGCATCATATCTTATTTCTTGGGCTTTTTATTTCGCTGCATTTAATGAATTTTATGTTGGAATTGAATGGTATTGTTCATCCAAAGAGCACAAAATGACACGTCATTGTCATATGGAGCTCATAGACAATACAGTGTTCTGAAATGTCTTATTTCATATTTTTTTTCTTTCTTTTGTAGCTGGTTGTGATGGATTTACATGTGATAGTAAGTATATCTTTTTAGCATTTTATATATTTTGTGTCTGTGGTATCGACAATCTTGTCCTTTGGGTAAATTGTGTCTCAGGTATTCACTCCCATGCCCTCTGAATATATTGTGCTTGTGGTATTGACAACCATGTCCTTTTTGTGACCAGCTTGATTGCAAGTGATCTGGCTAAAAAGGAGAACTTTTTAATGGTAATGTGATTGTACAAGATTTAAAATTCGGCCTTATCATCCAATGGCTGAAACAATATGTGTCTATATACATGTTTGATCACGGATCGGATCGAGATCAGTAGCTCAACTACCATAGGGACTAGTTGAACTAAGCCCCCACCACTTAAGCAGCCTTTACCCAGAAAGAGGTACTTTACCACAGTAAGTAATGTAGGAGAGCATATATGTGTTTAAAAAAATTCCCTGGGAAAGGGACCCCAAATCACGTAATACCACGAGCCTCCATCCATATAGTTGAGCCACTAAATGAGATGCTGGTTTCAGTGGCGGAGCCAAAGAGGGGACAGCTCGGAAGGCATGCTTTTCGTGCAACAATCTCATAGCTAGGTTGGAAATTCGGGCAACCTCATATATTTCGCAATCCCCCCACCCACCTAGCTCAGTCATTGTCTGGTTTACATAACATTTCATGAATTATTCGTTTAATGACCTACCCTTAAAATTTTGTAAAATTTGCCTAATCTCAAACCCTCGCTATCCAGAACTGTCCTTTTAATATATTGAGTTTATTAAACTATTACAGTGGTGAGAGGAGTTCGCAAAACATCACCGATGTCAAATTTTTTGAATGCCATGATGATCAGTCAGATGATGCAACAACCTAACGCCGCACAAGTTCCAACAACAAGCCAGCAACAACCAACATCAAATACGGGTGGTCAACAACCACCAACAAATGCATCAAATCCCCCAACCAACCCACAACCAACACCAACCCCAGCTCAACCCACCCCTTCTGGGACACAAGTTCAGCAAACCCCAGCAGCAAACAATGGTTTAGATTTGACCAGTATGTTCAATAACCCGGCATTTCAAGAACAATTGATGCGTCTGGTTTCAAACATGATGATGCAAAATGGTCAAATGAGCCAGATGGGTCAGATGAGTAGCCCAGCTGCTCCAGGTATAACTACCACATCATTAAATTAAAAGATATCTCTTCCCTTTTCAGTGAAAGCAATGCCTACTTTTCATTTTAGACAACTTCTTAGTGTTCTTTTCAGCAACGTTAATGGGCGACAGTTCAGAAATTAAAAAAAAAAGCACAAAAATATACAAAAAACAATGCTGTTTCAGATGTATTGCATTTTTTTAAAATTTTCACTAAATTTGAAGCATGAAACATTCGTCACAAATTATCCATAAAAATATTTTGAAAAAAAAGTCCATTGTATAAGAAGTCAGAGTTTTGATAATGGAGCGCTCATAGTAAAAACAAAATTTTTTCATGTGATTTCTATATATGTCTTAAAGGTTACATCAGAAAATAATGGTCGTAGATAGGCACATGTTTGCCCTGAACACCTTATGGATTTTATTTAGTTATTTATTCAAGCGAAGTGAAAGCTGGTTTTAATCATGTTTTGTTAATTGTTTATGTGTTTCGGGTACACTGATAGCATCAATTTTCACCATTTCAATTTTCAGACACAACCACATATTTCTAATCGAAAATTAGAATGGTGCAAATTGATATTATCATATGTCCCAAATAAAACGTAAAAATTTAGAAAACATATTTACAATCCCTTTTATGTTAATAGAATTTGCTGGAAACATTACAATATGAGAAACATCATAACAAACAAGCAAATTATGCATTTGAATTTCAGGTGGTTTTGGTTTCTTTGGTTAACAACAATTATACGAAATATAACTTACTTAAAATAAAGTTACAGTAACATTATGGACAACGAATATCAATTTTTAAGTTTAAAATTATTGTTTCAATGAGTCTAAATTTGGACTGATTAAAATATAAATTCTACATTTCGTTTTTCTTTTTTGATGGTTTGATGAACACAATCGCCATATTGGATTTCGGGGAAAGAAGAACTACAAAGGGTTTAAATCTGCATAATGATGAGTATTCAGTCCTATTGGTCCTATATTCAGTCTTTGATTTCAAAAAGGGCAAACCAAAGATTATCAGAAATGCATACGTTGAAAACTATCGATATGCCAACGGAACGTCTGGTAATATCCCTTTTTTCCTTTTCCCTTCACATACAGTTTTATAAAAGGAAGCCCGGTCTTGTCAGCTCTAAGCCACGCCCCAAAAATTTAATATGGATCCTCATAGCCACAGTGAACTTTGATTGACATGGCATTTTTGTGGTCTGAATTTCATATATTTTATAGTGGAAGATAACCCTCCTCACTTAAAGAGCGTGCAAGAAACGTTATAATCCGAGATCTCGAGAAAGAAAGAGTAAAGTTGCGAAAGAAGGAGTGGTACGATGCCAGATGTGGTGTACTGTCCGGTTTAATCGATACCGAAGTAGGAGATGCGATTGTTCTTTCATTTTCTAAGGTATCGACAATCTTGCAAATCTTATAACATTTTCCCCCCATTAATAACACAATAATGCCAATATTCTCTAAAGTAATTAGCAGGACTAGAGTATTTCACCGAAATGTTTTTATGTTGTTTTTCAAGATGCCATCAGGTGATACTGTATGCAAATAAAGGAAAATACCACATTTAAAATGACATTTGGTTCTTTATTGGACGTGGACTATGTTACGGGTCGTGTCCCAGAAGCCTTGGTCAGTTCAAACTGCAGCCGTTGCTATAACAGAATCTCTGCATGGATGTCTGCGAAACATGAATCCCACGTGCTATAAGTTCCTTCAAATTGATATCAAACAGCATGAGCCCTCACATGAATGTAAAGTCGTTGTTAAGTAGCTGTGAGCTTGCATATGATCACTGAACGCCCCCGTCTCCCCAGTGATGGTGGGAGGCCAGTGCAAATTTTATAATGTGGGAAGGCGGAGAATAGATCTAACGTGATTTTGAACGTGAAAGTAGAAATTGTTTTCATTTGTTATGACCCGGTCAATTTTTTGATCTGACAACGAATGATCGTTTTGTGAGGCCAATTTATAACAAGGGAGGTAAGAAACATCCAGAATACTATCAAGGCTGGTAATCTAATTTGATTCCATGTCCATATGTTTAAGCATTAATAGTCTCGGAGCCTTGTTAAATCGACTTTAGTCATTGACCATTCGGATGACTTGCAACACTAAGATCAACCTGTTAGTATGTCTTGAGGCAGTCGTGTCGTTGAACCAAGACCACGAGCCCCCACCGCCAGAAAGCTTATGTTAAAAAAACAATTCCCGGCGGATGGGCTGTAATCCACTAAAGTCCACGGGTCCCGACTCATGTAGTTGAGTCACTGGTCCAAAGATTATCAATGCTCATTTACAGCTGTGTCCTTCAAATCAATCGATTGCTGGCGTTGAAATTCGGCTAATGGGGGCAACAAACAACAAATCAAAATATTGCCGAGTAATATATTTATTGTATGATCATGGTATTTGATAGTTTCTTTAAATGGCTTTTAATATACGCACATTTGATGCTTAAGGATATTTGTATGAACGATATCATTCACAGTACACCTACTTCCAATGTTATACTGAACGATATATAGATGCGTTATGCATAAGTATGATAAATGTCTTTCCATCGTTTTATTTCTTCTTTTTCATGAGACCAAGCTTCTTCATCATCTTCATCGTTTCAGCTGTAAGTATAAAAAAGTCAATTATTAGACATTCAAATAGTGACGTTTCTACGGGTATGAAAGCGATGGTTAGCATTAGCAAGGCAGTGCACTTAATAGACACTTAAGTTGTCTATGTCTATCGGTACAGGACAAAGTTATATTCTGCTACCATCCAGATGCGTGACTATTGTCGGACGGTTTCGGTATATGAACTCTTTGCCCGACCACCACAAATGCTTTGAATCACCAGTCGTCCTGAGCTCCGCTTAAGTTAACCTCGAATTACCAATGACGGTTTATTTCGTAGCACAAGGCCACCGGAGTCTGTTTTAGAGTAAAGTAAGGCATAGCTCCATTGCAAAACTACGATCAGTGCACTACGACCATAACACCCTACTATGCTCTTTATACGTACCATTTACAGCTGAGTTTCCAGATGAACTGCTCGGTGTTTGACTGGGATTTCCTAAAACAAATTAATGCACTTTAAGAATCTATACGTCACTTTTACTTTACTATACCTTACGTCACTAAACCCGAAACCAAAGATATACATATTCTAGAAAGTCTCTTCCACAATGGAGAATATTGTGTGCGTCGGAGTAATATGCATACATTACCTTACTAGGTTTGTTTGTCATATCATTCGACAACATTGTTACGACAAAAAATTGATAGCCCCTCACTAACCATGAGATCAAATCATTTCTTAGCGATAGTTACCTGAGGAGGGTAAGTTTGCACCAGCAGTAGGGTGAGCGCCAGAACCTGGATGGGACATTCCTATAAAAATACATCAGCAATTACAGTATTTATCACTATCACATACTATAGCAGCCCATAAAATATAGTTCCCCTGATGAAAAAAGTGGATATCACGTCTAAGAAACTGGTAGGAGCTGTCTTAAGCAATTAATGGACGTATGTAGAAAGAAAGAAAGAAAGAAAGAGACAAACAACTATATTTGACAAGGATAACAACTTAGGTTCACAGTTAAGGATCCTTTCAACTAGCTGGTCCTTGGCCAAACCTCTTGGTGTTGATCTTTCCCGGATTATCCGTACCCATCGACTGAGATGACTTATTCACACGTCGATCGTAGCAAATTTTGTTTCAAAAATGTTCCCAAAATAAATCAGTTGCATAAATAGAATGTTAGTTCCATGTAGTTTCAGGCCCTGATTTTATTTTGCTGTATCGCTCTACGATTATTGATGTATTATTGAGCACTATTTTAACCGTGAAAATATTTGGTTATCTTTCCTTAGTTAGTTTTCTGACAACTTTTAGCTTTCCAGCATTCAGATTTTTGTCAGACGTCTATACCTTTCAAGCCAGACGATGTATGTTATTCTTACGTCATAATATTTTTCCAACGCTACAGGAAACGCAGACGTCGGACTTGCAATCGACAGTAAAAGTCAAAAAAAGGACAATTAAGTTTTGAATTAATTTGATTAAGGAGTATTGAAATTAACTGATGAAAGTTTCTTACCTGGAACATCTCCTAAGAGAGCAGCTGGAAAAAAAATTATTGACGTTTTAGAACGATTTTTAACAAAGAGGGTTGGGGGGGGGGAGTACCCTCGCCAAAAAATGAAAACCCCCTCACAATAATTAAAAAAAAAAAACACTATCACCCCTCCGGATATATAACCTCCAAACGATCAAGTCTGGCTATGGTCTCGGTTTTACGTTATAATGAACTTCTTGGGATGGCCCAGATCATATTATGTGGAAAACTGCGTGTCAGTACACTTTGCTGAAGTAAGTATAAGTAATTCCACCGTTACGAACACAGCAATAATTATGAGATCAAGTTTACCTTCATTTAATTCTAGAAATTTCAGCTCTTCCAGGGCAGTTATCTTATAGAACTTAAAATTTCAAATTAATTAATTTTACGTCATAATTGTCTGCATCATAATGGCTAATGAAGACAGGCAACGCCATGCAGTGTGCAATGAGGGAAATGTTACCAGGATTTCCAACCGTCGAGGGATCTTTAACGTGCACAGCCTGTAGCGACTGGACGCTTTTTCTATGTCAGCCCCTCTTACCTTCACCGGGTTGGAAAATCTGGAGGTATTATCTCGACTTGTGCCGGGACTGAACCTTAGACTTTAGGTTAGCGAGCAAGCGCCTAACTCACTGAGTCACCGCGGTTTCCTTAAAATTTCAAGACCTCGATAAATAGCCTACTAGCTGAATAACTTACCCAACTGGTTACCGCCCGCACCTTGAAAAAAGAAACAAAAATATTTTGGTTTGGGTGTCAATACAACGTCAAGTATTCCACCTTATTGCGGATATAGCAGGTACATATTGTTTTCAATGATTCAATACGATACTATGGGTACTATTCTAGCTCAGAACCTCTCTTAACATGAAATGTATAGTATTCACGGACAGACGACCTTATCCGTTACCTTTCATTTAGCGTAAAACTCTTACCTGCACCCCCTGGGCCACCTAATAACGCATCTGAAATTCAAACAATAACGAGTGGTCATGCAATAAAGACATGGAAAAAGGGATACCTCCCATCCCTCCCCCTTCAGCAATTGTTATATATTTCTTTACATCGATAAAATCTCATGATAGGTTAGAATGATGGAATGATACAATCTGATGAATGTTAGGACAAGGTTCGTATTCTTGAAAAGAATTTGAGAAAATGTTATCATTAAGATGAGCCATTTATAGAACTGATTCTTACCTGGACCTGCCTGACCACCTCCCAAGAGAGCTTCTGAAATTTAAAAATCTCAATTTAATTTATAGCCAGGAATTGGAAAGAGTAATTTTCTACTTTCGGCAAGTCGGGTTCGGGACAAACACATTAAATTGCCACCCTGCAAGTTAGACATGCGTAGTGCTCGAACTGCTCACACAGGCATCATATTCATGAAATTAAAACAATAGAAAGTGCAATCCTGCTTTCTGCTTATTACAAATTCTGCTTATTGTAAATTCAGCCCCAAATAAACCATCATGTCATAAGTGATAACTAAAATATTTGCAAATGATAACTTTGCAATTGGTTTAGTCAACTTTTGTTGATCAAGTTATAGATTGGAACCTAACTTGCGATCAAATATTGTCAACAGACTGCAGAACAAATATCTGAATCATTTTTAAAGGTTTTTTTGGCAGGTCATTCATTCAGGCCTTGTGTTTCACGACCTACCCCCTTATTACCCGTACTTCAGGGAAAAGGGCACCTCACATATGAACCTTGAACAATATAAAAAAGAAAAATCGAGCACAACCCTTGTAAAACTTATATTGTAATACATCTTTAAACTATGTATTGAATACCATTGTTCGCATAGTTAGTTGTCACGTGCGATGATTGAAATATCAAATGAAAATAAATGGTATGAAACAAAATATCTCAAAAGGCTACAAACGCACTGTTCGTTTATTGCGAATAAGCGTTAAAAACCGTCAAGTAAGGTAGCTTTTAGGTTCTTGTTATTCGATGAATCGATTGCTTAAAAGGGAATTCTTTAAATGTTTCTGTTGGAATTTCGGTATTGCTGAGTACAATTTGAATTGCAACCATAAATAGACTTTCATACGGAAGCTCAAATACGACAAGTTTTTGAGATTCCGTACATTCATATTGTTTTAATTTCAGATCTTTGGTCAAGGAAATTTCAAACAATTTAGGTACATATTTTGTGCATAATTTTTAAAATCCGGTATAAATTTTTTGTTCACTCACCAAGTGGATTGCCGAGATTCATGCCACCTACAAATTAATATCATTGTTTTCAGACTTTGTTTCATGAAAACAATGACGAAAAGTGCGAGGAAGCCGTCATATTTCGCTAGACACAATTCGTCATTGTATCAAAAAGGGTCCTTTAATACACGCTATGATTGGTTAAAATCACGTCATTAGAATGGGCTGTGGTAGAAAATTTGTTACATTACAATGGAGAAGCATATCACACAAAAAAGAAACATACCAAGTTTCATGACATTTCGAAATACACCTTGTTCAATAGCTAATCCTGGCCCTGCGAGCAATTACTGCCAATCACTGTATTTTCGTTACCTTGATCTGCGTCTTATACCTTGACCGCAATAGCCACCTTTCTAGTATCACGTAAGTGTGTAAATGCAACGACTTTTATTCGATCGTACGTTAGAGAATATAGCTAATCAGTTTCCTCGACAGAATTTCAGTAAATAGTAAGCCACAATGTATACAGTCTGCCTGTCTAGTGCTATGATTGGCCGTATTTGCTGGCGTACAATCCAATCTCTTCATTCCGTGAAACAAGAAAGGTAGCTATGGCAGTCATTATATAAGACGAAGTTGGTAATAGCTTCACATAGTGAAGATCATATACATTGCTCAATAGCAAATCTTGGTAATTTGGCTCTGTTAGCAGTGGTCAATTTCATACTTGTATATTTTGCATGTTTGCCTTATCGATTACGATTGGGTTAGGCATATTTCTGCTTCTACGTTTTCTCGCATATCTCATGTGTTGTAAATACGTTTAGATTTATTAGAAAAATACTCATTACTAAGGCTTAAGACAAGTTAAAAGTATATTTATGAAAAATTCTAATTTTCAGCGTATTCGTCAAAACCAAAATTTACGTTTGGTTTAATTCATACATTTATGTGCGAACAAAGGAAATGACTGAAAGACGTTGAAGTAAGCATAAAAAAACATACCTGCTCCACCTGCTCCCCCGCCTCCTAATAGTGCATCTGAAAATATGAATATTACGGTAAATTTTCCTCGTGTGATTGATATACCTCCTCATATGAAAAGTTAATTTTCAGCTACCAATGTATTGTCAAACTATTATAGATAGGGTTTCGTTTAGCAGTTAGTGTTGATAGTATTTGCTTTTTATACGCTCACATGTATATGGACATATCTTTACGTCGCCATTGTCCGTCGGTTCGTCAGCACTTCTTGTAAACTGAGTAAATATCTAAATTAATAGCAATTGAAACCTACCGAAAGGACTACCAGAACCTGCACCACCAGCACCCCCAAACAAACCTAAAATGCATATGAAACATGTAATAGGGCATCGTCGAAATTCCGTGCCACATAGTCTTGGATGATTTGGACATATCATTGTTTGAGAGGATGTCGATTTGATTGCATCATTTACAAGATCGGGGGGGGGGGGGGGGGGGGGGGGTATTTTAACAAATGAAAAGATTACTGTAAAAGTTGCAATTTGCTGCATTGAGATGATGTTTTGCATGGTCAAATCCCATATGACCACACCTAAAACCATCTCATGCCCTATTTTATGGGATCAATATATGGAGTTTATGCTTTGATACTGTAATTTTATATATTTCCAAGTTTTACGGGACAACTTCCTAATGCACATCCTAACATTTGTGATATAAAAAAAAATCTTTGCTGTGTTGTTAAGGCTAAGTTAGGTAATGGAAATATGCAATGTATTTTGGTTTATATATAGACACAAATCCAGCTATTATATTAGACTTACCACCGGTACCAGATAAAAGTCCAGCTGAAAATATAAATTTTATACTTTAAATATACTTTTTCAAGTTGCCGACAGTTGCGAAACCCTGGTATAAGGCAGATTAATAGCTACACTTTGAAGAGCGCGACTGAAACAAAATGGTTTTCGAATGAATTTGTGTATTTCTACTCTGTTCATTTTCGTTATCGAATTGAATATTTATCATGCTAGAAATATTAAAGCAGAACTAAAAAATAGCAAGGTGTTGTGAGTTTCATGCTATGCTATCTCCAGACAGCTGACTTAAGGCTGACAACAGATAAGTAGAACTTATTCTCATGTCTACACCCCGAGACGAGTTTGAAACGTTTCTTCAAAGAAGTGTGCTTAAGGGGCATGCTATATGAAATCATAATCTATTTACCTAAAGGATCCATCTGATTGCCCCCTAAACCACCTGCTCCTAACCCGGCTCCTGCTGCTCCTAATGCCGCCAATGGATTGGTTCCAGGCAATCCACCTTTACCTAAAATACAAATTACATGGTTATTATCAGATGATGGATGCCCTCAATCCGCAAAACTGGAGAAAAGTATGCCCAGCTCTGAAATTCTGTATAGTATTCAGTCCTCAATTGTGACCGCGTTGATGCGCATAACCTAGCAGTTGAGATAAAAAAAAATATATATATTTTAATTGCTTCATGGTTAGAGCAAAGATAAATATAAGTTTTAGTTCGTTGTTATGCATTATACATTATTATCGTAACTTTGTAAAGGTTTAACCAACTGAGAGAGCTCAATTGTTATTATCCATAGCACTCTTTGAAATTATAATACGACGCTCGGTTATCCCGCAATTGAGCGAAACAAGTAAGACTGTCTTATAAGGTGTTATTAACCTTCCTCGTGTGCAATATGACGCCATAAACCCGCAATGGCAGCAAGTGAGAAGGCCAATAACGCCCTGTCGTCATGACAGTTGAAATGAGTGCCGAACGATTCTACTGAATAGTGGGTGAACCGGGCATCAAAGTTGAATTCTTGGATAGTTCAAATTTAGCTCTACCATCTCGAAAGACTAATATTTTAATCAGGGACACTACTACTTCTTTGTCCGTATATAACGATGGTATAACAAATTATTTAATAATTCCGAAATGGTACATTGGTGTTGCAAATAATATTAAACATATCTATATAACCAGGTTATTATGTCAATATTAAAAATATATCTCAAATCAATTAATATATGGGATTTAAGGGGAAAAATCTGACAAACGAACTACAGATGCAGGAAGAGAAATCGGATTGGTGCAAACAGAAGCAGTGTCCCCGATATACAGAATAGGGCCAATTTGAATCTATTTTACTATGCACAATATATTGGGGTATATATAAGCTGATATAGTAGCAGTTATATTTTATGGTTCGGCAATAACAGCCGAATAGTTATATATGTTAATCATATAATTTATCGCGTCAAAATCATCTGTTAAATATTCATGATCAAATTAATCACACAACAGTACAGTTCCCAGCTTCACACAACCGGTTCATAAAAACAATATAATAACTATGCAAATTAGGTCATGTAATCATGCATCATGGAAACAAACAACTTGACATCCTTGGTTTGTAACAATTTTTTTTAAATTGAAGGTAAAGGACATGCACTTGTCACCAAAATTGTTCCAAATAAGATAACATAACAAGGGAATCACCTTATAACAAACGGTGCATGGAATATATTATGAAATATGCGTTTATTGATAGAATCTATAGGAATAAAATCTTTTACTCGTGCTCAATCATAAGAATTTATATTAGCAGTTTTCAGATCCTTCCATGTCGACTAGCTCTCAGGCCGAAATGGATTTCAGCATTGTTGCTTTCTTAATATCTTAATATTTGTTTAAAAAATCTTTGGACACGCCAAATTAAAAATCTACCGACTTCTTTCGAAGCTACAAATTCCAGTTCCTAGCGTTTAAAAAAATTATCATCAATTTTCTATGTAGGAACAATTATTATAAAAACTTATGAAATTTAGCACTTACCGGATAGTTTGTGGACCAAGCTAGCTGTCGTAATAAGAAAAAGCATTAATTGTTAAGCATTGTTAAGCAATATATCAGCAATTAATGCAATCAGATTAAAATGCAGATTTGGCGTTTTGTTCTGTGGGTTGGTCTGTGGCTGACCCCACTTGCAATCCATGATCTGACAATTATTATGTAACACATGTTCTAGGTCACTAAATTCGCAACCAATCACATGTCAAGATTAATAAAAGACCTTTTAATTCTGACTTGTATTGTTAGCCCAATTTTAGAGTTTTCCGATTGAATATCATGATAGTTTGACGCTATTGGATATTCGATTGAACACTACTCAAAAAGGAATTTCGTCAGATCATTGTCGGCAATTTGGGTCAAACATACAACGAAACATCCAGATCTACATTTTAATCAAATTGAAATTAGATCATAGTATTGAGATGAGCGAAAGCTGATTACATGTTGTGGTTTACAGGAATATACGAAGAAATTTGCAGTAATGCGCTTTATGCTTAAAGTCCACGCAGCTGTTAGATACTGAGATCATTGGAGCTACTAATATTTTGCAAGGCAAATTCATCATAACTCACTTGTATGCTTCCAGGCATAAAATGCAATATTTATTAAAATATGAATGGGCGCTTATCATTTTACAAGGATTTTACCACAGATTTGAGGATTCTTAAGGATGCTTTTGCAGAAAGCAACCCTACAAATTGGCACCCTATTGCACTGCCAACATCAGGGAACAATTTCTTTTCATAATGCAATATAAAGTCAGGTTGCTCAAGAGCCAGTTATACTTGTACTTGTCTATGTGATAAAGAAGCATATACCTACGCCAACCAGCGCCTCGATTGCGTACGTGGCTCTATCATTGATAGCACAAATGCGCCTGCGCATATTATACTTTCAAGCATGGCAAATGCAATCGTTTACAGATGTCTAACAAAAGTATGTATTTCACTTACCCGCTAAGCGCTCTGAAACAAAGATTTAGAAATATGTTATTTTTAATATGACATTTTGAGAATGATTTAATCTTTGTGGCTTGCTGATATATTGATATCAACGGAGTAAAACGTTTAAATACTTGCTTTACCAGCTAATAGAGCTGAATTCTATCTATCCGTTACTAACATATTACGTAAAATAAATTATCATTATTATAAGAAGAATTGACGAAAAATGAAATAGATATATTTAAAATTCTTTCAGTTGAGTCAAAAAAGGTGCATTTTTTAATTATACAGTATTAAATAATAATTACGCAAGCTTGACAATGGCAAAAACACAATTAGTCAAAATATTACACCGTTCGCTAAATAAAAATATATCTTTTATACACTCGAGAGAAAATAACACTCAAGAGCAAAGCCAACAAATTTTAGTAACAGGAATATAGTGTCGATTTATCAAGTATATTTTTCCAATATCAAGCTATTACGAACTTCGTACTTAACGCATATCTGGACTGCAATAGCCCTATTACTGTATCACGGAATGGAGCGACGTGATTGGATTGTACGCCAATTGTATGGCTTCTTAAGATCAAGACGGTTCTAATATTGGGTGAACTATCTACTATGTCTATGTCTCTTCACTCATTGAGATCATAGTAGTTTTTGCGATGAGACTCGATGTGCTACAATATCACTCAGATCACTTTTCGATTTTTAATCCGCATTCGGATGCAACAGAAGAGTAGATGCTTTCCGTTTGCTTCATACAGATTCAAAGTTACAAAGTATGGAGCTAGTTAGTCCCATATACTGTTAAGCAAATACATTTTGATTTCTGTTAGTGCTACAAACATTATATACATTTGGTATAAATGCCATCATTATTTGCATGCTGCTAAACGATATTGAATATAAAGTAAACAAGAACTTGAAGTCAAGGTTCTGTCGAAAATGTTGTACTTTGACCACAACACTATTTGGCGCCGACAAAGCTAAAGGATTTACTCACGTTCATGCATTTCAGCCATCATTTCTGGGTCCATCATGTTCATCATGCCTCCCCCCATACCAAATGGATTGGCAGTGCCATTTGAGCCACCAAACATACTTCCGAAGTCAAATAAACTAGGCATACCAGCGTTAGAAGCTATAAAAATGATAAAGAAAATTGATAAATACAGAAATACCAACAGAACATATTGATGTGCGTCAAAGTTTAACCTATTTCTATGTATTTTGCATTTGAATTCTTAGTATCAGCCTAAAAGTATGCAACAATAACTTGCAAAATGGTTTACGAGTAACCGATGTTATTTCAAAACGTGGCTAACTCGAGGCAAAAATTCAAGGTACAGACTTTGTAAATTTGTTGCCACTTGAAGACCACACCTCACCTCGATGGGTTCAAGGGAAAGAGTATTCCACTGCTAACTTCATTTTAAACAACCTTTCTTGTCATAGTTCCATGCCAATTCATGATGTTTGTAAAATCGCTATAAAAAAGACACTTCTATCACGAGAGTATTTCTCACAAATGTGAAAGGGCTTATTTTGTAGTGAATATCAAGCCCTCAAATGCTCAAAATTCAACTCAGGCCATCTGAAATCTGTTGTCTCCTGGCTGGGTTCCCCTAAGGCATTTTCTAGAATTGTCCCTAACTTTGATTTTAGTGGATGCAGTGACGAAGACGTTATAATATTCATTAACCTACCTTTGTTATTACCACCGCCACCAAGTAAAGCAGCAAGAGGGTCGTTGGAAGGTTGTTGAACAGGAGGAGCTGCTGCTGTTGGTGGTGGTGTTTTTGATTGCTCACCTAATAAAACTGCTTTTAATGCTGGACTCATAGCTGTAATTAGAGACAAATTTATCTTACTTCAGGATGTGGATCACCTCCAAACATCATTAGCCTCAATGAACATTTGAATCTAGGTGGTTTCTGAAGATAGAGATACTATCGTGGCGGATACAATGATAGGCACATGTGGGATTTCTCTCTTATTTCAATCGACTTAATTTTGGATACATCACCATCAAGATGTATCGTATGTTGTGTTATATATCGTAATTCATCTAATCATTTCTTGTTCAAAAAATGTTGTTTTGGTGAAATAGGGATCGATCGCTATATAGATATTTTAGTAAATCTAACTTACTGTCATATTGTGTGCCTAAAAGCTGACGTAGTACGCCTTCAGCTAAAAGTAAAATTTGGAAATATAATGAAATTTGTTCGTGACTTAGTTATGAGAGGCTGGGCGTATTTGTCAACGACAGGCTGGATGTTTGTAAATAAAAAAATTACATGCCATTGCATCGTCTTTAGAATTTTGAATAAAAAATTCCCTCATATCTAACTTTAGAGTTAAATAGTTGAGCTTCGCCATCGCTTCGTCTTTGGAATTTTAAAAATAAAAGCTCCCTCATATCTGACTTATGTTAAAAAGTTTCGATATTGAAAGCCCATAAACCAAATTCGTGGAATAGCATAGTTCCTTCTTTCATAATATGTTTTCTTCCAAATACTGTTATTATTATACATACGATATCATATATTACCCTTGTATGTATAAAAGCTTTGTAATAAGTAACTGTAGAGATGACTAAAAGTTTTTTTAAGCGGGTAACTGACCACAGGCCTAGTTATATATCATGTATAAACCTTACCAGGGTTGTTAGCAGTAGGAGACGACTTTGCAACAGTTGATGGTATTTGAGCAGCTTGACTCGCAGGGTTTTGAATCTGGAATTGGTTTAAAGTTGGAACATTTTGATTCGGTTGCATTGGTTGTTGTTGTTGTTGTTGTTGCTGAAAAGATCTCTGTTGTTGAATCTGTTGTTGAAGTTGCTGCTGTTGTTGTTGAAGCTGCATTTGTTGTTGTTGAATTTGTTGTTGAAGCTGTTGCTGTTGAAGCTGCTGCTGGTTTTGTGGTTGTTGTTGCTGTTGCTGCTGCTGTTGTTGTTGAGGCATAAATTGATTGGTTTGTTGTGTAGATGGTTGCATTTGATTCTGAACAATTTGTATCTTTTGTTGTAACATCTGTTGCTGAGATAACGGTTGGTTAGATGGTTGTTGCATAGGTTGCTGTTGAAATTGTTGATATGGTGGGTTTGCATTTTGCATGTTTTGTTGATTATATTGTGGTTGTTGTGGTTGCTGTGATTGAAATTGACGGTTTGGGTTGAGTTGTTGCTGTGGTTGTGTGAATTGTTTGTTCATCATATTCGATTGAAATGATTGTGGTGGATTTTGAAACTGTTGTTTCTGCTGATTAGGAAATGATTGTTGGTTTTGGGGATACATAGCTTGGTTTTTATTAAATGTTTGGGGATTGTTATTAGACATTGGTTGGGTCGGTTGATTTAGACCAAAATTTGTCTGTTGCTGATTTGGAAATTTAGAAACTGTCTGTTGTTGATTTGGATATTGAGAAACTATTTGTGGATTTGCAAATTGAGGAACTGTTTGTTGTTGTTGATTTTGAAATTGATTTTTAGGTTGTTGTTGTTGATTTGGAAACTGAGAATTTGGTTGTTGTTGATTTTGAAATTGAGTATTTGGTTGTTGTTGTTGTGGATTCGTAAACTGAGAAACTGGTTTTTGTTGAGTTGGAAATTGAGACGCTGGTTGATTTTGAGGCATTAGATTAGTTTGTTGTATGGGTACGGTCGGGTTTTGGAATTGATTTGTATTTTGAATTGTTGGAGATGGTTGTGTCGGTTGCTGATTAAACGTTGGTTGTGGCTGCTGCACTTGAGGAGTAGGATCTAAATTGACAAAATTATGAAAACAAGAACATTCAATGAAGAAGCTTATATAACGGGGGAAGTACTTCGTCACAATTTCTGTTTTAATGAAGAAGGGTTATATCAAAGCAACAATTTAAAACAATTCAAAGGATTTTCGACCGACGTCAGTTCCAGTTATTCCAGGAAAATCTTGGCCAGAATATATGTCAATAAAGGCATTAACGTCACAAGCTGATCAGTTTTCTGATATATATATAAACTATTATATATTTTGAATCCTTCTAAATTTCTCGACCTTTGCTGATGACAGTAGACGTGGTAAAAAAAAAGTTTAAGCATATAGTCCAAATCTTAACTAAATTGGCAAACGTAATTAATCGCAAAATATGCCTTATTACATAAGGCTCTTCGCGATTAGTGATGTCATCAAACAGTTAGTTTTAGTGGAATTGCAACATTGTAAGTCTTTTATAACCAAAATATAACTTACTTGTTAACAATCCTTGTTGTAATTTAGTGATATCTGTATTTAAAAAAGAAAAAACGTTAAAATAGCTTATAAAAGTTGTAAATTGCTTTAGCTTTGTAGCTCTTGGGGTCGGTCCTAAAACTACGAAAACAATGCACACATATCCAGTTACACAGAATTTTTCTTTCATTTACTTGGGTGATATTTATTATCTGAAAAATCTATCACTTAAACGTACTGCCATACTAGAATAGTAACCGTATGTATATGGACAATAATGGAGAAATCGTATATATCTTTTTGATGTTAAACTGAGGTAGCCTTTTGACGGATGTATTTTTGCACAATCCTGCCCTACTTTAAAAAGACTAGACAATTTCATCACTTACCTGCAGTGCCTGTTAAAATTGACTTGAATGCTCCAATTAGGTCTAAATTAAGGATAAAAAACAATTATGACAAAGATCAGAAGATTATAGGTTGAATACAGGTCTAGCTCTTTCCAGAAAGTTTTGCAGAAGATGCGCTGGTAGAAAAGATATATTTTCTCCTATACAAGCCTTAAATCTATTTTTCTTAGGCAAACATGTCGAATCTTTTGAAACACCTGATGCCACTGAAGTGGTGCTTTGTTCTGACACCTTGATAGTATCAATTGCCACTTTGATTAACAATGGATTAAATAATCTTTTTTTTTTACATCTGTAAAGTAAAGGAACTAAAACGTAAAATTTGTAGTCATATTACCTTGTGAGCTTAAGCTGCGACTACCAGCTGAAAATGAATCATAATTTAATATTATTACTCTCCTTATAATATTGAGTCTGGACCTAAATTGTCACTCAAGAACGGTATTTAAAATATATGTATTAATGTATACCTCATCAAACCCTTAGAGTTGAAATTAAAAAGAAATCGCTCAAACACCTCGAGGAATTCTCGGTGATTTTTTCCTCCTACGTTTGTAAGCTTTGCGGTATAAAAATCAAAGATCCATGATATAACGTGTATCGTTATTTGCGGCTATGGCGATTGGATATTTTATGACTATGGTATAGTACGTGGCGTCTATGCACATGCATATAGTTGATATATGGTTTTCTGGCTTTGTTAGCTATTGATATCTATGTAACCAGTCTTTGCACGTGGGCCCAGTGTTATACCGACTTTCTTATTTTTAGAATTTTATGAGATTAAAAATACCTGCTTCCATAGCTGAGATAAAGGCATACATGTTCTGGACGATATTATGGCCTGAAATGAAATCAAATGAAATCATCAGCACTATTAACTTCAACGTGGAGACTGTGACAATCCGAAGCGTCTCAAACAATATATTAAATGGACACAAGATTTTAACTAGATTCCCCAATTCCCAAACTTTTGAACCGTTTTTGCCCTGTAATTTGAACATTGCTCATCAAGAGAACCTATAGGCTCAGTGAAAGCATTTCAATAATGAATATTGATCGAAGTTAACCAGATGAAAAATACATTTTTAAAATTGAATCAGTTGCTTCTTCAATGCTCCCGGAGGTGCTCAGCTACCCCAGTTTTACTACCTCAAGTTGGGAACAGGTTGATTCTGGAATTCATTGCATTTAAATGATTTAACCCACCTTGGTTGGTATTTGTTGTAACTATTGGTTTAACAAACGTACCTAAAAGATAAAAAAAAACCCAACTAAATGAGTCATCCACCGAAAAATAAAAATCTTAGCCAAAATGTCACTTGAGTGAACATTGCTCATTACGCAGATACGACACCACATCAATCTCAATTATGATGTTTCTTTTTTTCTTTTTTTTCTTTTTTAAATAAAAGTATACTGAAGATTATAATAAATCAAAATTTGCCCATAATAAATTGTATTTGTTTGAAAGGTTACTATATTACAAAAAAGTCTTCAAACTAGCTGTCCTCATGGTGCAGAAAAGTAGGACGTAAAACTTCATTCATTTCATTTTATTTCGATAAAGCTGTAAATGTTTACGGTTATTCCTGGAAAATGCAATTGCAGGGGCCGAGATGTAATCCTCAAGATGCCAGTTCTTATCCTTGTAAAAAAATGGTTGTTCTATTGTTTACAAAAGACAACATTAATCTTACTTACTCTTGCTGCATTTTAAATTAATTGATGACCAAATTCCGTCAGCGCCACAAGTTATTGTAGTGGTACCACTTTCATAGCTAAATCCTTCATTTTCATTGCAATTATACATCACAGTAGAAGTAAATATGGTGGAATTATAGGTCGATGTCGCCCCGTCTACGCTTGGAATATTTGATTCACCACAATCTCCTATTTAGATGTATTAACAAATTAATGCCGAAAAGACATACATACATGTATTGCAATATTTATATTATAGTCTAATATAGCAAGGTTCATCTTACTGTTTTCAGAAACCTTACAAGCGAAGGAAGTTCGTAAACCAATTGACTACCTCGATTAACATTAATGAAAAAAACAAAATGATTTTACAGTGTTTAGATTTGATAAATTGTGGACTAAGGAAACAGAAACCATCCTTAAAAACATGCCCTCGTCTATTTCTATACGCTTTGCAATATTCAGACAACTGAACCGTTTCAGCATCAGGCTGCACTCCAACTGAAGTTTGGTAGAACTTGTTCCCTTGTGAAAATTTCATGTCCTTAATCAAATGGCATTGATGATGGAAAGCCTTTTTCCGAATATGGATACACATAATTAGCAAAATAAATAATGATGTAGCATAGTCCGTATCACGGAGAACATTCAAATGTCTCAAAATGCATCATTATTGTACTACAAAGAATCTACACAACAAACAGTTTCTTAGTTTTGCAATAACATTGCTTTATAGGCCAGAGTGAATTCAGTTCGTTAATGCTTGTAAATTTTATACTGAGAAATCTGCCCGATAAATATTTTCTCATTTTTTCCCTTTTTTTTTTATATACTTTATACAAATAGCTGTTGACGAAACAGATAACTTACGTGGTTTACATATTATTTCGGGCGGAGTCCATGTTGAATCTGGCTGGCACATTGACACATGCTGGTCATAAACAAAACCAGGTCGACATCGATAAACGGCGAAAGCTCCATATACGGTATATGATGCACCGCGTACATCGATGGGTTTTGGACATATTGCTGCAATACATGATTAAAATGTAAAATGGGTGATCGAAAATTGATGCAAAATTAAATGCACACCAAAAATAATGACTTTAATTTTTGAACCAATAAATCCTGTTTGAGAGACCCACAATTTGCAGCTCTTGACGAACCTAAGTAAATCTTAACGGTTTACAATACCTCTACAGTGTACAGCAGGTCGAAATGAAAGACAAATTCCGAGTAAACTCAACAAGCACAGCAAATTCACACCCAGATTCATATTTATCCCTCATCCAACGAAAGGCGCACATGTCATGTGTATCTTTGTAAAGCCATGACCATTAATTTACATAACTGTCAAGCCTATTACGAGGCATAACCGACTCTTATGAAAAAACAAATGAACGTCGCACATAAAGCATTACTTACATCAGCCATAAAAATTCACCCATAAAAATTATAAGTGAACGCCTAAACTATTATCGTGTGTACTGATGCCCAAATAAGTAGGTAAAGTAATATTTTTCGTAATTTCGTATTATAATTTAGACGTATATAGCCATCACTCCTTTTCATTGGACGCTATAGACATTTTTAGTTTGAAATCTATTTGCCATTTTGTTAGAAGAAGCATATTAGTAAGATCTCAAATGAGTGTGTGCTCTAAGATATGCCTATAAAGCCATTGGTGCAACTACTGTCTCTCTTATTTTAACTTTGTTTACTGTATATGACTCATACTTAATTGTTATGATTCATTTTATTTTTCATTTTAAAATGCATATAATTATATAATCTTTTATCATTGTGCATTGTTTTTATAATACGTCTATGCATATCTACGTGTAATTATGATTAGTAGTTAGTACGTAATAACAAATTCTAATACAGGTTTTAATATTATACTTAGATGCATTTGACTATGCTTACTCTTTCCGAAACACCTGATGGTACTTCTCTTTGGAGGAGTCCACTAATACACAACTTTTATCCTCGATCTTGACATACTTTGGACGAGAATTTGATTGACGAAATTTGCTTGTAAGGATTTTTTATTTATACATAAACCTACTCAAAATGCATATATATCTTTGACAAAGGATACCAAAGGTGTTTTGACATCCTTACACTTCGTGACATGACTATATAATTATCATAACAAGAATCAAGATGAGGGTACAAAAAAAGTTCCGGGTTAGCCAACATTAATTATTATCAATAAAATCCCTGCAATAAACATCTACTGGAAGACGACATTATGAAATATGTGATTATAATTTGATGCGTTTAAAGAAAGTGTACTTTTTAATATCATAACAGACTGGATATATTATTAGTCTGACACAGATGCCTTATCCAATTTTTGGAAGGAAATGTTCATCTGTGTTGAATTCGAATTCGTAGATGTGATCTGATTTAAGATGGTTTTAGTGTTTTAACCTTCTTATTGGCCAATCACTCAAATTGATTGATTTAGTTTTGTTATCTGTATTACTGTAGATCTTACAATCTTGATTTTATTCAAGTTAAGTGTTGGAGAATAAGGCCTCTGATCTAGATTTTTATGTGTATACATAAATAGGATAGATATACTCACATGCCATACCGGGGACTGGAGGCATAGGTACAATATTTGAAACTTGGTTCGACGATGTTTGAGGTTGAGGTTGAGAAGCAGGCAATGGCTGTGGCGTATTTGATGCTGGTGGTTGTTGAGGTGTCATCACTGGTGCAGATGCTGGAACAACTGGAGCAGCTACTGCTGATACAACCGGGGCAGCTGCTGCTGTAGATGTGGGAAAACCAGTTGTTGGCAAACCAGCTGTTGATGAGCCAACGGTTGATGAGCCAGCCGTTGATGAGCCAGCTGTGGATGACCCAGCCGTTGATGCACCAGTCGTTGGCACATTTGTGTCTGTGGTACTAGGATTATTGGTTGTGATTTTAACTGGGGCGACATCTGTTTGGCCTGCTGTACTAATTGTTTCGGTGGTGGTATCCTGTCCTCCTGAAGGGATGAAACTTTCTATTTAGTCGAGAAACTTCATACAGCTCATTTCATCCACTATTGCTTTTACACAAGAATATGAGCTTTTTTGACAAATCTTTTTAATAAAAAAAAACTAATAATACGAGCAGGCTATGTGATGCTCACAAAAATCAAGAAGACATATAATTATTTAACTTAAATAGATCAATTAAATTCTTTATTCTTTGAAACGCTGGTTTATCGGAATCTATACACGAACAGAGTGTAAACCATAAGAACAAACATAAATTGCTTAAATTTCCAAAGTTGTCCACAGCATGTTCCTAGACTATAAATTGCATGAAAGCATTTGATGAAAATCAAAAAGTCCTCGAGGATATAGAATCCCTTGCATAAAAATACGGTAAGGTACGGTAAGGGATGTCGAGAAGGCAAATAAAAGTGACGGGAATGGCTTTTAAAACGATTTGGGGTCTTAAGCAATACGTTTTGTGATTCTGATAAAAATGTAAATCGAACTGGACACAAAGTTCTACAAAGGCACTAAATGCTAACACTTGTACCATACTTACACGAAAGGAAGTGTATACCGTTTTTATACATACAGATATTCACACCATGCTAAGAATAACAGATCAGTTACACCGATTCATATTAGAAGGACTTTTTCAAAAGAAATATATTATGGAGAGATGATAACTTACCTACTATCACCGCTATTACTGCTAATGTCACTGAAATAAATTAAATACTATTTCATTTTTTTCTTCAAAGAACATGTTTTGTCGAACATAAGTCATTGTAAAACTTAAAACATATTTTCAATTCATTAGTCTATGTTCCGAAGGTTTCAGTAGAACAGATGAAAATTGCCAACCAAGTATGACTTCTACTTAAGTGCTAAAAGACTAAAAGAAGATTTTTCGCAAAAATTACAGTGGCAATGATGCCAAATTTGTTTTGGTGGTTTTCTAAGTGGTAAATTGGATACTTGTTTTCAGATAGCTCTTCTTTAAGGTACCTCTAACGTTGTGACTGGAAATGCTTAAAAGGTTCAGAGGATTACAAGATTTGAAATCAGTTAACAACTTTTGATCATGAATATTCTAGGCTTTAAAATCTTCGTATCGTATAGTGCAATAGCCTATCGAGAGAAGATTACAAGATGTACAATCAGTAAGCAACTTTTGACAGTTCTTGACGTGGAACATGTATAGGTTAAAAAATATTACGTGTTTATTTGTGAATTTTCAGAATCTGTGCAGTATGTAACATGTGGTCATGCCATTCAGATATATTTTTGGAAATACCAATATCATTTCTAAATGTTTAATCAAAGTGGAACTGTCTGCGATCTTATGATCACTTTAGAATAAGCCCAGGGCACCCCTTGAATAAGTTTGTCTTAATTGCCACCATATCGTTCACAGGAATAGGTGACGTAAAATCGATAATGTTTTCAAATTTAGTCAGAATCTTTCTACAGTTGGCATTTATTTGCATCTGTTTTAGTTGAACAGATTACAGTACACTGACAAATGCAGAAAATCACACGAAAACGTATTTGTTTTTCAATTTTCCTATTGAGTTCCTATTGTGTGCAACATTCTGTCCTATTGGTGGGATATGATGTATTTTCAAAGTATGTATCATATTCAAATGTCGCCTTCATGCATTTCACTCTCGAGGGTTAAATTGCAATGTTTCCTGTCTTGGTATACAAAGTCATTTTACTTCAGATAAAGTGTCAACGTATGACATAACCAATGAAAATAGAAAGCAGATCTAGATGTTAGTCTCGTGTTTCTTTCTATATGTGTGACTGCACATGATCTGAGGAAATTGATAAATACCACGATTCAAGGTCACTTAAATGCTAGACCAATCAAATGCAATGTTTAATTATTGCTTTATATACCACGTTTTACGTCTTTTGAGGGATATTAATTTTCAAACAAAGCAAAATCATTTCTCTTGATCTCTCATGAAGATAAATAATGATGATTTGACGTGTAGACGTTCTTGAGATGACATATCTGCCCTCGGGCAGGGCGGAACCAGATGACAGATTTTAACTCTGAAAAGTGACTCGGTTGTATGATTTCAGTTCATTTAGGTCGGAAAGAAGAAATTGGAAGACTATTGGAAAGATTCACAATATTCAGGGGATGATTTGGGTCTTGAATATATCTAAATCGTACTAGAAATTTACGAAAATCGCATAATTCCTTTAAAAATACTTCAAACTGTAAATTTTATTTTCTATTTCTATATATGTATTTTCTATTTATGACAGAGACTCAAAAAAGACTAGACATTTCAATATTCAAATGCAGATAATTCTGAACACACGTGGATTTGAAAGCTCAAATTTTGACAGTGAGCTGTGAACACTATTACTGATTACCTGTACTATTACAGTTTCTGAGACCAAGGTATAATTGACCCCCGAAAATAGCAAATCTGTCTCTTTAAAAAATAAAAACGTAGATCAATGTAGATTCTTTGCCCTTTGTTTATTCTAAAGGTTTAAATCATGAATGAATTATGCGACCATCATTTCTTGACGCGATAGTTTGAACGACTTAAATCCAACAAATGTCTGAACACTATTATCAGTAACGCAGCTTTCGTGATTCAACAACCGTGTATAAATATCACAGCATCACGACTGACCTACTTATGTCATTAATAATTCCTTTCAGTCACATAAGTGACAGAATATAATATTATCATTATATTTCCGACGATCCTTCGTAATTGGCGGGTATTTCGGTTTTAAATAAATGATATAAGTTATATTACCACAATCACGAAACCATTATGATAATGTCATGTCTTTGAACATCAGTGTCAACCCGTGATTCTGATTTTATGATTTTGGTTGAGCACTGTCGGATAATAGGTTATGCACATCAATATGTGTTTTTGTTCGTATGTTATGTTGTTTGTACCACAAGAGTGTGTGAACTTGTATGCATTATAACCTCATTCTGAACACAGAAAGTTACTGTTGTGTCCAGCACAGTTCTTTGTACCTTTGAACATTCATCTTGGTTTTTACTTGTGTGTGGTGAAGAGCTGGAAGATATTACTTTTCTGAATACGAACTATAAATTGAAAGCAAGCGAGTGTTTCCTTGCTCTGCTGATGGCTGTCCATTGCTGTTTGCTTCAAGTTAAGAAGCGCAACATATACATATTTGTCTTCAGTGGGCGTGGTCATTATCAACGACGGTTGAGACTATATACATTATTTTTCGGTATGGTTCACATATACCTTTGGATTGTAGGTAAAAAAATATACAAAATGGCTGACATATTATGGTCAATGGTGGTTCACTGCTGTCGTGTCACGATCATATATCTTAACGGACTTATTTGTCCCCTTGGGCAAACTATTACCCCGCAAAGTCCTGGCGAAATGGCCCACATGCTTATCCTTACTCATAAATATATAACTATTTTAGACTTTCAAGTTTAAGGAATTTAAATTTTGCTAACACATCACGAATGTACCTTAAAACGGAATTACCCTGCCTGTTTTCTTACTCTAATTTAACATAACTGATATGCACACTTTGTTCAAACTTGCGGGTATCCGTTTATGCTTCTAATTTAACCGCTCATACATATGCCACGTGTTATGATATTTTACGATCCTATGAAAGATATGAACAACATATTGAAGCGATTGGCACAATGTGTAGTCACAAAACCCACAAAAATGTATATATTTCTGAACTGCACTAATAAATGAATTAATAAATTAAAGGACAATAATACCCAAATATTAAAAACTCACCCACTAAGCCAACGTTGTCGATACATTTCATTTTCCCTTATTTTGTTTATCCAAACGCGTAGTACGAAATGAAAATGAACGGATGTACATATAAAGAGAAAAGTGTAATGGCTTTAACTTGTCATATTCTCATGTCAACTTTCTTACCCACATTTATCACCAGCCTGTCGACAGTGAAATATATGAGGTGTAGATGCCATCAATTTCAAACAAAGACGGCAATCCACTTCATTACCTCACGAACATCATCTGCGCTAATTTTTTTTGTTCGTTAACATAAAATATCAACATCACCTTACATTGAGCACTTGTACTTGTATATAAGATTTATGTTTTAGGACAACCCATCTTTATGAGCATACTCAGAAACAAATCATCATTTCCTTCATAAAACACGATCTTTTTTCAAAAATTTCGGAATTTTACTGCCAGAGATAACAACTAATTTACGTTAAAATATTTTTTGAAAAAATGAGCAAAAAAAGCCAACTGTTACACTTAGATCACTTTGATCTATGAGCTGTTACACTTGTAAGATTTATATTATTCTTTTTTCTTCAGACCAAACTGTCTTTATGATCCTAATCATGTACGGAATGTTATCTTCTATTGCATAAACCTTCTTTTAAGGGTGACAATTTCTCAAAAAATCGCATAAAATTATAAAATTTAATGCGAAAATATTACCAAACTTGTGATAAAGGTATTTAAAAGAAATGGGGAATAAACGCCTTCCAGCGACATTAATGCATTCATGATTCAGACTAACTCACGCTAGACAGAATAGAAAATGATGTTGTTTGAATTGATCAAATGATTAAAACTTGTTCCCGGAGGAGCGTCAAGAAAACCATGACGAAAACAGGGTCGACTTGAGCAAGATCAGGGGATTCCAAATGGTGAACTTGATTGCTATGTCAAATATTTTAACTGCCGCAGCCTCCAGGCATGCTACGGCCCACGCTGCATATTGGGTGACAAAATACTCTCTCTCCAAGCCCATTAGCTTTGACTATTGACTAGCCCCCTTCTCTGTACAAGCCTACCTGAAACTATCTTGTGAAACCTGTTCCGATTTGGTGGAACGAAAAATGCTTAGAGTACAAACGGGCAGTACAGATAGAATACGGTTTTTTTTTCAAACAAAATGTCATTAGGCCTTTTAAGTGCTAGAGCATCGTAGCAACTTTTGAACGCATCCTAATATATGCCGATCACGGTCTATTATGTGCTGATCGTGGTTTATTATGTGATGAGCACGTTAATAAGTGATAGTCGCGGTCGTATGTAGACTAAACGTCCAAACTGTTATCCAGTACCTCGTCCATAGATGTACGTTTTTTAGGTTTAAGGGTACGAGTTATTAATGACGTAAGGGTGGATATATTGCCACTGGCCTCCGAAATCAGTTAATGATGTACGTCATCACGTCAGTCAAGGTTCAACTGACGTACATCATCTCTAGTTGCAATTTTCGTTTTTACTCTGAGCAAGATTGACATCTGGCATGGAGTTGAAGTAATTTATAAGAAGATGATTATTTAACATTAACAAGTAGCACACACGCAGTTTTAATTTATCCAAGAGAAACTTTAATTATAGCAATTTTACTCGCTGCGAGGCTCATTTATGTAACTAAGATAATATGAAACAAATATTTCTTTTGAGCTGTAATGAGCTTGGCAATGTTTTCCAACGTATCAAGCAATATAGATTTGTTCGATGAAAAATGAAAATAGTTCGTCTTTTTTTTTAATCAAACTGTATTTAAAATTGCATGAATGTAGTGGTCAAGCTGCTTAACCATTTCTTAAAAGACACTTTTTGCCATTAGCAAATTAATGACAATATAGTACAGCGTGATATTCTGAATTTTTTTTTTACATAATTCTTTTGCATGTATTGACGTTTGTGTCCTAATGATGTTATTGTATTGGACCTTGACATTGTACAGATTCCGTAATACATGTGGACATTCACAGTGTGATATTCAGTTGAAATCTGCGACTTGACCAAGTTATATAACATAACGCATGTCAATGGTCGCTCTGATTTAATAGATAATAAGTATTGAGGGCAATCGCCTGAAAATGCACACAACGAGATGCAAAAAGAAACCACTTGACCTACTGCGTATTAAACTAAATTTTACACTATAATCAGCTAGTACGAAGGTCACCCCTTATCACGTTGTGAGATATTAAATTTTAGTTGTGTTGATAACATCTTAACTATACAGACATGAAGATCGGTTTTATTATTGTATGTTTGCTAATAATATTTTGCCAATTGGCAGATGGACGACGCAGACGTCCTGGTGCAAGGCGAAATCAGAATCGCAGACGAAATCCAGCGACTAGACCAACAGTACCATCCCGAACAGCTAGCAGCTGCGAGGATATTACTTTACCTATGTGTCGTGGCTTGGTTCCATATAGCCAAACTCTTTTACCAAATGAATTTGGACACACAACACAGAGGCAGGTTTACCGGGCACTGGAATATTTATGGCCATTTATGGACATCGGTTGCAGTCGGAATTTTAGAGTGATGGCGTGTGGATTGTATCTTCCCAAGTGTCCAACTGGAGGTCAGAGAATGGGATTTAAACCTTGCAGAGAAACTTGCAAAAAGGCCAGACGATGCAGGCGGAGGTTAACAGAACTGCAATCGACCTGGCCAAGAGAATTTAAATGCCCTAAACTCAAACCGAAAAGTTCTGGAAAATGTATTGAACCAGTTCCCGAACGACCATCATGTTCCCATCGACACGTTTCTTGTGAGAGAAATGAACATGAATTCTGCCAAGGACTCAATTTCCCGAAAGGATCTATACCAAATATGTTTCTGCAGTGCTCCAAACCCGATATACACGCAGAGCTGGATGAATATCGCTTGCTTCTTAATTCGGGTTGTTCTGAAAACCTGGCATTTTTGCTGTGCGGTATATTCCAGCCGTACTGTAATCGACCAGAAAACCCGTTTGCTTTGCCTTGTCAAGAGATTTGTGAACAAGTAAGATCCGAATGTGAAGCAGCTTATACCAGACTTTATGGCGGTTTGTGGTGGCCAACAAAATTACAGTGTCACCGATATCCCAGATCAACGGATTCCAACCGAGTTTGTGTAATGCCTGGTGATTCGGTTATTCCTTTACCCGAAGTCGACGACAGAGAATGAAGTAGCCAGATGATTGGTTAAAATAGTGCAGCTAATGATTCAGTCTTACATTAACAAAGACAAATAAACAGAACAAATTGTATTATTATATCGCTTACTCCTCCAGTTATAAGATCTTTGATGTGGAATTGTGTGTGTACCCCAAGGAGCAGTCTCGTCAAAGAACTCCATTGTATAACATTGGATGCTTTTTGATTATCAATATATCCGTTCAAATAAATAATATGTATATAATAACTGCATAAATCTCTATATAACAAATTACACAATACAGAGAAGCTATTTGGTGTGAAATTGTGAACCTTTAAGAGTAGTCTCCTTAAGATCGCAATTGTATAATATTGGATACTTATGGAATTCAATATATCTGTTCAATTTTGTGAATGGTGTAAAGTGACTTTAATGTGTATTAATAAATATATCAATGTACAATAGCAGGTATGTGAACACTCTGTAAGAGACGCTGCCATGTAAGCTACAAAAGCCCTAATACCCATTTGAAAACAATTGGACTTAAAGAAGCTGAAAGGTTGCATAAACCTTTCATCCAAATTCCACCAATTTTAAGCTCGTTTAATTCTTTCATAAAAATAGAAATATTTGGATTTCTAGACAGAGCAAGAATAAAACAAAGAAATAAAATATTGTTCAGTTGTTGGCGAGTTTAAAAATGACAGGAAAAGTAGGGAAATTTCGGGAAAACTTATTTCAATATAGACGTTATCAACGTCTTAAGTGGTTCGTGTTCTTGAATTACAAATTAATGAATAAAAATATCATTATCTCACAAATGATAAACTCGACCCAATTTAAAAACATGAGAGGTTTTTCTGAGTTATAGATTAAGTTATCAGACAGACTATGCTGTCTAGAGTTATTTTGTTTACTAATTATGCTTAGCTTTCTATAAAAAAAAAAGCCTGAAACAACCGATGGAGCACCGAACGCCTCAATTATTAAATAGCCACACGATAATCCCGTTCTTAAATGTGATTAATCAAATTTTTATAAATGCATTTACTTAATCTTTCATTTTAATGCTTTCATTTAACGCTGTAGTGAAGGGATTCGAAAAGAGCGGTACGTAAATCTCTATTTGTACTTATGTCATACGTGGCTCCTGTTGTTCCCGAGGACTTCGTCGTATCATGAGGTCAACATGAACTCACCTAAACCGTAGGCACAATTCGTGACAACCCAGTTCAGTGAAGATCTATCCATAAACAAGAATATTCCTTAAAGAGATTTGGGGTGACGTAATTTTCTTGCTTCTGTCTAACAAATATTGGTCGTGGGTTCTAATCCCGGTTGTTGTTAGTGACCTTGGCTAAGTCACTTTGCTTATTATTCTGTTCGACCCAGATGTAGATATGTACAGATAATCCGGGAGAGAACAAATTTACGAGGACCGGCAAAGACCAACTGGTAGATAGAATCCTCGTGATAGTTCTCATCCTTGTAAAAATGCCTGTTTCTTTCTTTCAAAATCAGATCACAGTTCGTATGACAAAATATAATGAGGTCTAAAGGACAAATGTATGCTTGCCAATACTTTTACTACTTAATTATGCATCAAAGTTTTGGAAGTAGACAGCTGGTGTACCAGTGTTACAATCAAATGTCTCGGCTTGACCAACAACAACTTTTTCTCCGGTAGTTACCAAATCACAAGTAATCAAAGCACCACCATCTCCCTGAAATAGTAGAGCATAAATTACAATTGCTCCTTCTTAGTTTGAACAAGAATACAAAAAGCAATATGGGTTGTTCATTGTATGTTCTTAACAAGAAATAAGTGGCACCAAGCCCTTGGACGTTCACAGACTGCAATGGATTTTAGTCTACATAGTGGAAGACAAAAGACTATCGTCCGATTCCACCCGACGTCAGGATCTTCAGATTGTGCAACATCATCTTCCTAGTCACGGTTATGATTCTACAAGATATACTTACAGCACATGCAGCCGCGTTATCCAGAGTAGCGCATCCATAGGTAGCTTCCGGGATTGTTAATGTTGTGTCTATATTCTTACATGCTAAAGCATCGAATGTTACCTTGGCCGTTTGGGGAACAGTTTGTTTAGCTGTAATATAATATCACACAACATATGTTAAGTTAACTACATTTTAACACAAAGCTCTCCAAGAGGCATAGCCATTCCTTGTCTCGTTCTAATAAATAATTACACTTATTAATTCTCTCTAGTGTACCTATCTGCACTCTGCAGACTTACTCGTTCGCGTAGGACAATAAACCGAAGCTTCATTGACTACTCCAGACTACAGATCCATAGACATCTGGAAATCGGGAAAAGGAAAAAACTCGCCGTCCTGAAAAAAAATTGAATAGCATTGCCCTTCTTCGTTGCCCGAAATTGAAACATAAAACCCAAGACATAAATCTCCATTTCATTCCGTTGGTATTCATTTCGGTGTAATATAATCATATCTGTATTTCAAGTAGAAATTAGTGTACGTACCGTTTGAGGCATCAACTCCATACCCGACAATTTCACAAGTACTCTTATCATAAGCTCCCATGGATGTATCATAAATACAGCCTTGACTTGGTGCAGCATTAATATCTACTGGTGTTGATAGTGTAACAGTTGCTAGTGGTTTATCAGCTAGAATATCAAGAAAAATTTGATTTTAACTTTAGAAAATTTTCTATGAAACACTATATCGGCCAAAATGTAATCTTCAGTGCTTCTCAACAAGGGAGAATTATTGCAAAGGGGGAAATGGGGAAGAATCGTTGGACCAGGTAGGCGAGGTGATATACGACTGAAATTAACATCATTCACTCCGGATCTACAGAAGGTCGTGAACGAATATTCGGCTCACGGATCACATTTTTCGCGTAAAATACGTTTCAATATGACTGATTTATTTTGAAGAGCAATATATTTGATAGAACTCATTTTTCTCGCTAAGGTTGAGAATCACAGATCGAAGGGTTCATGAATGATCGTTACAATATTGTGGAAGCGGTGACAATTCTTCCGCTGTTAACTTTTTTGAAATAAATTATGTATGTCATATGTATTCAACAAAAATATATCCAGACTTACATGAAACAGTGGAGATTGGTATTTTCTTTCCATCAACAACGGCTACGTCGTTTTCAGCCCTGAAATACAATATTAATGCAATGATTTTAGAAGTTCCGCAATTGGTTCAGGTATCAATACGTTTTGTCATATTAAATTTAAATGACTAAGGCAAAACAAACGTTGTACTAGATAAACGATAACTCATTTGTTTTCCCAATACAACACTAGTCCGCCAAACGTTCTAATATATTTTAGCAGTAATTTCTATGCTTTTGAACTGTATGTGACGTGTGATAAAAAAAAAACTACAATGTACGCGTTTAAAACCGTTTAATTTGACAATATATCACCCACTTGCATAAAATGTTCCTTGGATGGCATTTAACCCCTGAAGAACTTATAAAGCTGGTGCTTGTTGCCTCAAAAAAATTTTGATTGATATTATTCGGATAATAATATTGAACAATATCATAAAAATATACATTACAATGGTAAAGCTAAAGTTTCAGCACAGTTGCTGGGTATTTGAATGGTGGTAGCGCTGGTCAGAACTCCAGTACAGACTGTTATGACATCACCAGTAGGAGCTGTTGCTTCCAAACCAACTACACCAGGGTAATCACATGTTGATGATACTGGGGTTCCACCTGTATTAAAATAGCATTGTTATTCATAAATGATAACGGCATAATACAAGATCTCCGGCTAATCTCAAACGGATACACGGATACACTCGGAACAAAGAGTAGCAGCATGACTTCAGTGATTGCAGTGGGTTGGCTTACTTTGTCTGTACTACCTTACAGTGAGGTCTTATCATCCTTCTAGGTGAGTTCAATGAGTTAGCATACTTTGCGCATACGTTTAAAATCCAATTTTGAAACATTGACCCCGATTTTCAAATGAAAATATAGGGATTTGGATTGTTTATCCAGGACTGACCTATTACACCTATTTAACACTTTGCTGCACGCTTTGCTACTCTTGAAATCCTTTAACTGATTATCTGGATATACCAAATAATCAGCCAAGATAGCTCTCTGAAAGAGATGTTCACAAACCCTTGATTGGGTTGCATCATGTATTCCATAAAGGTAGGAAGGGTCGGTATGCTAGCGACACCCGCCACAGTGCTTTTATTGGGGCTCAAATCGGGAGTTAAAGCTATATGAAATTAATATCACAGACCTTCAATTCTCAAAGATTTGAAAAATCCATATTCGGATCTTCGTTTTCGGCTGCATCCGCTGTTTGGACAAACTACAAAATTGTAAACAGAAAATGTATGTCACTGGTAGTTTCATATTTACGTTTCCTAGTGTAATTGACATAAATTACACCTTTTTCTTTGATGTTTTATTTCGATAACATAACATGAAAACAAAATAGAAACTTAAAGGATAATAGTGGAGCATAGGTATGCTACAACCAGTCCATTTTGATGTTATCGAAGGATGAATTTTGATGTTTTCTCACAATTATTATTTTTTACCCAGGATATTATAAAACCATTATGTTTAATACGACATAGTTACTAGGCAGGTAAAAGAAAATTAGTAAACGTGGGAATTATCACCAAATTTAAGAACTCGTTTACGTTGGTCACAATGATAATTCTGGTGGCAGCGTGACCAAACTTCTTCCGAGTTTCTTGATGCTCGAGACCTATTTGTTAAGGTTTGGTATATTGCCAAATTTGACAAAAAGTTTGAGTCGTATGATCTACCTTAATCCAACAATGTAATATATTGAGAAATATTTGACATCAGCATCAACTCAAAAAATCAAACATTGCATGATCGTAATGCATCTTGTGGTTTGCCTCAATAAGATGGTACTTACATTTGGTTGGAGCCGTAGTTGTGGGTGCAGCTGTTGTTGTTGTTGTGGTGGTTGCAGCTGTGGTTGTTGTTGTCGTAGCTGCTGTTGTTGCTGTCGTAGCTGCTGTTGTTGCTGCTGCTGGTGCTGGTGTAGTGGCAGAGGTTGCAGTAGCAGCTGATAAGGCCGCATTACATGCTGTTTGCAGTGCATTATAAGAGGAGATGTCTTTGACGCAGCATCTACATACGTTTACTGTATTAAAAATTGATATTACGTCTTTGGAACACAACTTTTACTCTCAATGTTGCCATACATTGGGCGATATTTTGATAAACGGAATTGGTTGCTTGTACATGTATCAGATATTTTTTTAATATTAATGAAATAATTCTTAACATTTGGCAGCTGAGAGCTATTTATGGTTCATACGACGTATTTGATAGAGAGAATGTTATTCATCAAGGAGCATTATTTTCAGGCAATTAACGTTCATTTTGCAGATGGAATCTTAAAGTATATTGAAATCAAATTAAATAAAACTCTTTACCTCCAAACCATGTCATTTCTGAAATATATAAATAAGGAAACAGTTTCATTATAAATATTTTTTTATTTATAAGTATTTATAGAAAAGTAGTTTTGAATAGGAAATCGTCTTTTATTAGAAAATAGTCTTATGAAGAAATAGTATTTTTAGGGAAATAGTTTTTAAATAGACAATAGTTTAGAAAAGAAAATAGTTTTGAATAGAAAATAGTTTTGAATAGACAATAATGTTGAAAAGAAAATAGTTGTATAAATAATAGTCATGGAATATAAAACAGTCTCGAATAAAATAGTGTAACTGTAAAATAGTCTTGTATAGAAAAATACATTAAATAGTTCTTGTAAAAATATTTATGTAAAGGAATATTCTTGAAAGAAATAGTTTTGGAAGAAAAAATAGCATTGAATAGAAAATAGTCTTCAATACAAAATAGTATTTAATGGAAGAAAATCTTGAAAAGATAATAGTGTTCAATAGAAAATAGTCTTTAATGGAAGACAGTCTTGAAAAGATAATAGTGTTCAATAGAAAATAGTCTTTAATGGAAGGCAGTCTTCCATAGAAAATAGTCTTTAATGGAAGACAGTCTTGAAAAGATGATAGTTTTCAATACAAAATAGTCTTTAATGGAAGTCAGTCTTCAATAGAAAATAGTCTTTAATTGAAGACAGTCTTAGAAAGAAAATAGTTCAGTCTGAAAAGAAAATAGTCCCGAAAAGAAAATAGTCTGGAAATAGAATATCGAATAGAAAAATGGTATCAAACTGAAGAAGACATACGTGTTTGACATCCTGCAGCCTGTGACTCGCTAAGAGAACAGCAATTTTCACTTAGATATAAATTCCTCGTTGTTGGTCTTTGGTAATACGTTGGTGTATAGTGATAATACGTCGGTCGACGTACTGGTGGCGGTGGTCTGTAATAATTGTAAAATACTGAATGTCGACTCTCCTCTTCACAAAACACTGCGGTCACACACGCTAACAATATTAAAGCAGTATTCATCCTGAAGACCTATCCTGTACCAATAAATCAGTCAAATAGTACCCAAGTTTATATATCACGGTATAATAACTGAAAAAGAATTTTGTCAAACCTAGGTTAAAACCCATCTGCTTCGTTCTCGCTGGATTTTAATTAGTCTTTGAAATGTACGTGTTATTTATTTACACAAGCAAATCGTCATAAAAAAGTATTATTTATTTTTCGTTTTCTGAAGAAATAATAATATAAGAAATTTAGGGACCGGTTTAAGCCATTAATTTCAGGTCACGTAATTATATAGCATTTTGTATTTGAACGTATGTTTGTGTGTGGGTATATTCCCGCGATAATCATTCAAACAATAATTTCAAGCCCATCCTATAATTTTGAAGCAATTGTCAAAGCGATTTGAACACAACAACTTTTGCTGTCCAATCTCATACACATGTACTTAAATGTATGTAAATCAAATTAAAACATAACACAATTTTTTGGGTTTTTTTTAAAGTTATTTATTACATGTGTGTATATACATTGTGTCTATGTTTGTCCCAATGTGATTAATAATAGACAGGACCATGTCATTCTGTAAAATAAATAATTTTCCGGAATATACAGTACTGCATTGACCAGAGGGGTTGTAAGATTATGATTTAAGATTTGAACGACATATATATTGTCTTGTGTCTTAAACATTATGTTTATTGCGTGGGTTTCGGGAACAATAGTTATATTCCGAGGTTTCATCAACAGATAAAAACCTTGACCTAGCTTAACCCAGTTATTTGCGTGCTCTCAGTTAGTCTAACGATTAATAGCATATCGATGCAAATGAGGCAAATCCGTGAAAGATTCATAGTCGCAAAAAATAAAAAATAAATTAATTTGTTAACATAAAAGATGGGGTACAATTTGGGGTACAAACCATTTTTTTTTTGGAAAATGTCACCCCAACCCGTGTACCCCCACTGGCGCCGACTCAGTGTGCTTTGGACATGTAGAAGGCCCGATATCGTCATTAACCTAATTTTCACGAACTAGGTGAGGACTTATCATTTTGCCAATAACAAGTCTAAGTAGGCGTATTCTGTGATGTGCAACGTGACTCACCATATACTTTTAGTTATTTGAATACGATACTCTATCATCTGATGTATAAACAGAGGTATGTCTGTTTAAAATACGACAAAATGAAAATACCTCATTCCAAATAAGCTGTAAATCAAGCAACGCCCAAATTTAATCATTTATTTTATATTTTTAAAAACTACTACCTCTTAGAACGGACTTGGTCATCCACGGAAACAGAAATATGGTCGTTTCCTGTTGGTACCACCAGTTCACGTTTACACGTTTTGCAGCATAGTCAGTGAGAGGCTTGGTTCTTTACATGACGTTATTTGCTTGGTTGTCACAAATGGTAGTGGTGGGTTCTAATCTCGTTGTGTGCAGATACGATGACCTTAAATAAGTCATCTTCATTCACAATTCTTGGCGCCTCAGCTGTAGATGGTTGTCGATAATCTGGTAAAATCAATGCCAGGAGTTTGGCAAAGGAACAGCTGGTTGAAAGGATCCTTGTGAGCCTCAGGCGTTATCCATCGAAAATATAGTTTTTTCTCTTTCCTTTTCTAAACGCTTTAAAATTTTTGTGATAAACGAGTGCGATCTTAGTTCTATGTGATCATATGTTACATACTTAACCACCGCCCCCCCCCCCCCCCCC